TGGAGTTGCCCAAGGACACGCAGAATGAAAGCAAGAACATCCTTCCTGCTGGATCCCAAGTGCTGCTCGTACTCATTCCAATGCAAACACTACATGTTCTGTTTTGACAGCAAAAGCTGCCCAGCAAAGGGAAGGAAAAAACCCTCAAACCCAAACCCCAGAGCTGCTGAAGCACTGGGGTCTGCCTCATGCATTATTTTGAAATTCACCTCTTTAAGGGTTCATGCAGGGCACCCCAAGGCTCAGCACTGAGCTCTCCTGACGTCCAGGAGCCAACGCTGGAATTTGTGTCTGCCTGGGAGAGTGAATTGGGTTGTTCATCTCTCTGACGGGCAGAATAAACACCCTCCACATTGATACCGAGCTCATTTCTGATACTTGTTTAGGGACTTGACAATTCCTGTATAAAAGGATTTCCTTCCACAGCTGAAGTTTGACATTCCTGCATTATTAGATTATTTGCAAAGGTCTGCGTGCGCTGCAGGAAAACAACGCTCCCGCCAGGCAGCATTAGAGCCTGCTCCTGCACAAATCATCCTGGGCACAGCCAGCCATGGAGGCAGAGCCTGTTGGATCCCCTGGAGCAGGGAGGGAGCAGCCAGGGAGGCAGCGAGTGGGAGCTCAGGTGAGCAAACACAACCCACCCACCCACAGCACGACAGCCGCAACAGCATCAAAACTAACAGACCCAGCAGGAGAGGGGTTCTGGGGCACAGCCCTGCCCAGTGGCATGACCTGGCTGGGAGAGCAGTGGGAGCATTTCTGGGCAGGGACACGCGGTGTTTTTGTCCCCCTGCCTGTTTTGGGATGGTCACAGCCCTGTGTCTCTGGCTCCCCATGCTGGGGAGCCCTGGGAGTCCCAGCACAATGTGGGAAAGGCAGCAGGAACCCCACACCCCCAGCACATGGGGGCTTTGGGACTCAAAGGCCTCTGCCCAGAGCAGCCCCTGCACAGGGAAGCCTCCAAAGCATAAAATTCAGAAGAAAATGACTTGAAAAGAATTATTTCTTCAGAGAACTCAAGCCCGTTTCCAGGCCATTAACTCCTTCCTCTGCAGAACCCACCGCCAGGTTCCTGATGGAGAGGAGCAATATCACAGGTGTCCATCATTGTGGAACAGTTCCCTCTTTCCAAACAATTAAGCACCAAAAAAATTAAATGTAAAAAAACCAAACAAAAAATACCACAAAGCAACCAGCCCTTCCGCCTCCAAACAATTTCCTGCCCCAAGAGAAAAGCTTTCCCTGAGAGCAAGGCCTTAAAAGAAAAAAAATATTTTACAAAATCAATAGTGTAAGTGACTTATTTCGCAGCTGATGGTTTGCTCCCAGTGCTGCCAGCCTCTCACTGTATTTAGCACAGCCTCAGTCCCTCCACTGGGATATCAGGAGATGTTCCTCAGACATGATTTACACTCATTTCTCCCCGTTTAGGGAGGCTCAGCCGGGAGCGCAGCTGAAGATGGATTTGGACACACAGTGAGGATGGTTGGTGCCTCTCTCCCGTGGCCAGGGGGAAATGCCATCAGCTCCTGCCACTCCCAGCAGGAGGAATCCAGTGCTCCCACCCTCCCTGACACTGCCAGCACTGGGGCTCCCACTGCATGGATGGTGTCACCATCCCTCTCCCTCCCCCTTCCCCAGGACTTGCACCAGCATTACCCCAGCCCCAGCCAAGCCCTGCCTGGCCTCAGCCCAACCAAACCCCACCAGGGCAAGCACCTCCATGGAGCAGAGGAATCCACAGACTGAGGACAGCATCTCCCTCATCCTTTGCTGCTTTCCTGCTTTTAAATCCTGCTCTGGTGCTCAGCAGTGTTGTGCACTGGTACCGAAGGCTGCAGAGCCCTGATCACAGTCCAGATGTTGGGGTGACAGGCTCATCCCTGCCTGCAGCAGCCACTGCCCACAGCTGGTGTCAGCCTGGGGGATCCCCAGGGCTCAGAGCTCCCCCCACTGCACCCCAGGATCCTGCTGCAGAGGGAGGTGTGAAGCACCACGCTGAACAACACTCTGCCAGCTCCTTTCTCCTGGAGGGCAAGATTCCTCCTTCCCATCACCAGAGTGCCCCATCCATCATGTTCCCTCTAATTACCTTCTCATTTACCTCTTTAGTCAAATCTGTTTACAATCAGAGATGAGAAAGCACAGCCCAGGGAGGGGTACAATGGGGAGGGGTCTCTGTCCCTGCATGTTTTGCTGCCCTGTGCAGAGGCTGGCCTGGTACTCTGAGAGCAGAGGGGGCAGGGGAGTGTGGCTCAGCACAATGAGGGCTCACAGAGGAGCCAAGGCCACCAGGCTCCTGCCACCACTCCCTGCCATCACTCCCAGCAGCCCAGAGTCCCACAGGTGCTACCTGTGGGTTGTGCCAGTCCTGCACCCTCTCCCAAAACCCACATTTAGCTTGAAAGCCAACAGTGATGCTGCTGTTCCACACCTACAGAACCAGCAGGGTTAAAGCAGGGCACAAATCCCCCTGTCTGCAGCCTATGACTGCTTCCTCAAGGAAATCTGTTATTAGCTCCACCTTTTAATCCTCCCTCAATTACAATAACGTCATTCTCCACAACTGCCAAGACTCGGGGTGCCCATCCTCACACCTCTTAGGCTTTTCTGTGCTGCTCAATATGACAGCACAAATGAGCTGGCTAGGAGCAGCACATTAAGCTGAATAATTACTTTAATTAATAACAGTGTGCCCAGGTGGGCCCCCAGCCTCTCCCAAGGACCAAGGCAGAGGATCCAGTCTTTCCCAGCAGTGGGGTGTGGGGTCAGTGTGGGTGCATGGCAGGGCCTGCAGTGATTACAGGATCAAAATCAAGTGGGCTCCTTTGGAGCAGTGGGGTTCCTCCCTCTGAAAGAGCTTGGAAATTAGAAGAGAATAATTCGTCATCCACCTTGTAAAAGCCCGATTTGCAGGAACCATCTCTGCACAAATTCTGCAGCAACATCTGGAGCACCCTCATCCATCACAGGGACAGTGGCTGGGCTGGGTGGGATGAGCACACTGCCATTCCCTAATCCCACAAATTCTTCTTTCAGCTGGGGAACACAATACTCATGGCAAGGCACTCCTGTTCCCCAGGGGCAGCACCACAGCCCTGAGAACTGTGAGGGACAGAGCAGGGGTGGCACCTTGTCCCCAGCCCCACAGAGGGAACACCATCTCACCTCACAGGACATTGCTGAGCCCAGGCCCCACCACAGGCTGTGCCTGTTTCCTCTCCTGATCCAGGATAGCACTGACTGCTGGCAGCTGGAGCAGTGCCAGGACCCTTTCCTGCTCCCCAGGGAACCCACACACCACAGCACCACGCTTTTGGTTCCTCCAGCCCCTGTCCTTTCTGCAAGAGCTTCCAATGTGAGCTCACTGGCACAACCCCCCGTGGCAGTGACCAACATTTCACTCCCAGCAGATGCTGAAGGAGGTTTTCCCCATCTGAGAGGAGCCAACTCAGAGCAGGGATCATGCACTGCACTCCCACAGCAGCTCACCAGCTGTGCATGGAAATGATCACAAGTACATACACACATGCAGCAAACAGCAAAACCAGGTTTAAAATGGGCACTCAGATTTATAAACTTACCTTGCCCTTATGCAGTTCACTGAAGTTTTCTCAAGACCTTCCCTGCCCTTTTCTCCCCCAGATACACAGCCCCACTTCTCACCTGAAGCTGTTCCACATTCACTAAGTCCCCTTTCTGCCCTGCCTCAAACTTTCTGTCTGAGATCCCTCCCTTTCTCCTCAGCTCCTCCAACACAAGCACAGTGTGAGGGCACAGCCAGTTATCTTCCAGGAGAAAACAGAGACCAGCTCTGACCACAACTCCACTGGTGAGGAAAGGGAATGATTCCCAGAATCAAGTAAAAACCTAAACACATCTGAAAGCTAAAGGAAAAAACACCTCTAAGGAAGCAGATTGAAAACAGAAGAAAGAAATGAGGAATTTGACAAGTTCTGCACAAAAGAAATATATTTTTGCAGCTTTTTGTGGCTGCTGAAGCCACGACTTCCATGCTGATGCCCTGAACACCAGTGTTCAATAGCACCAGGCCAGCAGTGCCTGTGCAGGGAGGATTGAAGGAAGCCTTTAAGCTTGCCTGACAATGCATTTTTCTTGGAGATAAAAAATGAATGCTGCCAGCATGCAAATCTCTCTAAATTAGGCACGGCCCAGCTTGCGGGAGCCACGATGGCTTGTGATGACAGTCATTAACTTCAGCAGCAGAAAAGAGGATGCAGGAAAATATCCTCTGCTACTTCCCATCCCAGCTGGGAGTTCCGGCTCAGGGAAGCACTGAGTCTGGCACAATGACACCCAAAACCACACTGTGGCTGATGAGAATGAGCTGTGGCTCCTTTCCCTGGGGCAGGCAGGGCCATCCCTCTGCTCTCAGGGACTTGCTGCTGCTCCAAGAGCCAAGCTCCCTGTCCAGGAACCACAACACTGCTTTTCTACTGAACAAGCACAGCCAAGAGCAAAAACTGACAGTGAAAGCAAGGCAATGGAATTTGGGCATGTCACTGCTTACCTCCCCTCACTCTTAGTTTCTGGGTAAAACCCCAATGGACTCATTCCCTCTTTAGGAGGGAACAGTGACCAGCCTGTGCCAGAACCTACTTTCAATTCCCACTCATCTTTGGGAAGACGTACCAGGAATGGCTGATGTGGCAAATTCCTGGATCTCAGTGCCACTGAAGAAGGGATGAACTGGACACACACCACCACCTCAGCCTCCCTGGTTCCCATCAGAGCAAGGGTTGTACATTTTCATTAATGGATCAGGCTGGAATAACCTGCCAACAGTCTATCGAGCCAGGCAGGCTTCCTCTCTGCCCTCCCTGCCACACATACATTTGTATTGTTTCACACTGATCCTTGGCAGTTTGATTTAGGGGGAAAAAGATAAAAAAGATGAGAACCTCATGCTGGCTTTGTGCTGGATATGCAGCTGCAGCCCCACTCACAGAACACTGCTCAAATAACAAACCAGCAACTAAAAAAAAAAGCAAACTATCTTTAATATCTCCCAAATCCCATTTAGAAGCAGTTTCATAGAAACATCACTTTGATCGTGCAAGAGAGGCTGGAGGAGGGGCAGGAGGAGGGAGCACTGGCGCCAGGTCCTTGTGGGCAGACACAGAGGTGTCTCCCAGGGCCTCAGAAATTCTCCAGCAGATCCAGGATCCGTTTCTGCTCGCTCTCCCTGAACTCCTGGTTCTTCCCGTCCCCGATGTTCTCCGCGTACTCTGCAGGGAGAGAGAGAGCACAGGGACACAGGCTTTGAGTGCCACAGCAACAAACAAAGGGCCACAACTCCTGCACACACCACAGAGGAATCTACACCCACACTACTGCAAACAGCCACACGGGAATTAATGCAAGGAGCATTGATGGTTTTCCTGCCCATCCCCAGGGTTAAAGCTTTGCATAACAAACACCTGCTGACACTCATTAAAGCTTCTGTGGCAGACAGACACAGAGAACTCCCTGCTCTGGCCCAAGCAGACAGCAGCACCCAGGAGCACCCATTCCTTGGCATGGGAGTCATGGCATTATGCCCAAGAAATGCCAACAGTACCATAAATCACTGCAAATCATCAGCTTCCCAGGTCCCTTTGGACACTGGGTGTCATCAGGGAAGGTCAGGCGGGGTCTGTGACAACTGTCAATCATTCCCAGCCCTGGGTTTACCCTGCTGGCTGTCCAAGCATCCTGAATGAGGATTTTTGCCCAGGAGACCCCAATTCCTCCATCTACCCAGTGCTTTTAACCACACAGAAGAAAAGCCACCAGTTGAGATTTAACTACAAACTAAACTACTTGCCATCAGGCAGAGGACACCAGACCCTGACCACAGTCATGCCCATCCATGTACATGGCCAAACAGCACAGAACTAAACATTCCCTCTGTAGCTCTCCTCCCTGATATTCATTTGGAGCTGGCAGCTCTCATCCCCTACCAGCTCCCTCCTTCCTGCAACCAGAACCTGCATTTTCAAAGATGGTTTAAAAAGAAAATATGAAAAGCAGGTTCTGAGCTGCAGAAGCAAGGAGCTGAACAAATCTGAGGAATCAGGAGCAGGCTGATGGTTAAGACAGCACTTCCCTGCCTCCGCCTGCTTGCATTCTTTCCCTTCTTCCAAACAAACAGAACAGCTTGTATTCAGCACTGAATGGTAAGTTGCTGCAGAAAGTTTGCTTTAATATTTATACATTTAGCACAGCTACACGCTCTGAGCTCCATCAAAGCCTTTGTTACAGGAGCACTGAAAGCAGTGAGGACAGGCAGAAGTTAGCTGATGTGGGAGTCTTCCCTCCTGTGTGTACACACACTCTCTCTCCATGTAAAAGCAGTAGAGTTCTTTACCAAGCCTCTGGGAAAATATCTTTAATATTTATAAATTGCTCCGGTACCTGTAACATGAGCAGGTGGTAATGCTGTGGTTTGCTGCAGGTGAACCTGAGCTGCCCACTGTCCCTGCAAAGGGACCAGATCAGGGCATCTTCTCTCAGTGTATGAGCTGCTCTGCACAGCTCTCAAAAGCAGCAGAAAGCTCCTGCAAGGAGGGATTCCCTGTATCCTGTGCATGGACTGATTGCTGGGAGGCAGCTCAGCCCTGCCATGCTGAGGGATTCCCTGTATCCTGTGCATGGACTGACTGCTGGGAGGCAGCTCAGCCCTGCGGGCTCTGGGCTGGGCTGGGGATCCAAACTCAGGCAGGAGATGATCCCAGTGCACAGGGATGGGGTCCCCTTCTTAGCTCAGGCTCCCCTGTCCCCTCAGGCAGTACCAGAGCCTGAGTACTGGGGCTCCTGGAGGAGCAGCCCCTTCCATGCTCCACCAGGGTGAGTGCCTCTGGAACATGGCAGTGGATGTGAATGCTGGAGTTTATTGCAGCCCAAGGGCAACACTTCCCACCTGCAGTGGCCTCTCCAAGCCCAGGTGAGGGACAGCCATGGTTTCCAAGCCTGGCACATCCAGCAGCTCTGCCCCCAGCTGTAAGGACGGCCAGACTGCCTGGACTAGGGCTGGAGCAGGGAGCCACTGAGTGCCACTAATGGCACTGCCCTTCCTTTGTACTGGGAGATCACCCAAACAAAAACAAGACACAAATTCTTCTTATCTTGTCCAAAAGCTCAGCATTTCTCCTTTTAAACATCTAGGCTTTGTAAGACTAAAACCCCTGTTAATCTAAGGCAGAATGTTTACTGGGTTATGACAGCTGCTAATGCTCATTTGAAGCATTAGCAGCTTGAAGACACCAGATAAAACCCCCAGAACCAGGCTTAAAAAAGTAAATCTCCAACTGAGATTTTATGTATTTACTTTTTTATTTAAAATTCCACCACTTCACTGAGACTGCTAAAAAAAAATCAAATGTAAGCTGCTCCTGCCAACAGTTAACCAGAGCTTACACACTGCTGTAGCTACACAAAGGGAAAGGGCCCAAGATTGGTTTCTGCTTCATTAGACAAAATACAATGGTTACAGAACAGTAAAAATCAATTGGGAAATACTGAGGCTTGTAATGGATATTGGAAGCTCTGGAGCCTGCACAGATGGAGGCACCGTGAGCCAGACTGAGCTCCATCCTCAGAGCACACTGACCCTTCCTTTGTGTTTACCTGTGCTAACAGGTTTGGGCTGGAATGTGCAGCAGACATTCCACATGCCCAGCTCCCAGTGTGCCTGCTCACCTGACACCAGGTGTGAGGGGGGGGGCTCAGCAGGAGCAGCTCTGACAGAGCTCCTGAGGTAGCCAGGATCAATGGCAAGTCCCTCTGGATCAGTGAAGAACAGGGAGATTTGCCATTCCTAAGCCAAGTATCACTTCAGAGAAGCCTGTGCCTCACTCCATTCCCAATGACAGATGGAGATCAGGCACCACCCCAAGATACAGACACTGCTGCCATCCCCAATCCAGCCTCCATCCCCAAAACATCCCCCTAGCCAAGGTACACACCACTCAGTTGTTTTCTTCCAAAGCATAAACTAACTGTCCTGTTGCAAGAAATGCTTGATCTTCCAGAAAAAGGAAGTGTGGGAGGACTGGTCAGCCTGCAGAAATGCATTAATGAGCCTCTCGTTATTCCCTGCCCACTCCTCCCCCTTGAAAGCTCCACCATAAGAAAACAGTCTCGCTTCCTTGCTTGCATCGTAAGTAATTCTGAGCCACCCCAAGGGATCCATCAGCTGTCAGGTTGCCAGAGAAACATGGAGAATATGTAGGCCATAAAAATCAAACTAAAAACTGAGCATCTAATTAGTATGCAAAAATAGAAAATAAAAACTGAACAAGAGCAAAACACTGAACGAAAAGTAAAAATAAACCAGTCCTCATCTGTCCTGAGAGCAAGTTGGGAAGTAGCCTGGAAACATTTTCCAGCCAAGGCTCAAACTCCTGATCTCTCAGTCACTTGCAATAGTCTTGTGTAGTTGAGTCCAGTGAAGTTTTGGAAGCCCCTTGCTAGCCCAGCATCCCAGCAGCATCCCACTGCAGGCTCCACACCCAAATCCCTGTTCCAGCCCCTTGGCTCCCCTGGGAAGCTGTCCAGGGAAGTGACTCCTTCAGAGAACAGGTGCATGTCCCTGGTGCTGCTGCTGTTACAGGCTGGTGAATCTGTGCTGACTGTGCATGTGGACACAGGTGTGTAACTACTGAAATGCTCAAATTTCAGAGCCCAGACTGCAGCTGAGCCCAGTGCTGCCTCCCAGGTCCCACTGCAGGACTTCACAAGAAATTTATCTTCTAAGAAATTTATCACTGAGGTTGTGATTATTGTCTTTAAAAGTCTCTAAAACTAGCAAGTTTAGGAGCTGGGGAGAGCTGCAGTCAGAGCCCAAACTCTGTACCCATCCCTGCATTATTAGCAAGCCAACATGGCCCTTCAGGCAGGGAATGTGCTGCTGCTGAGAGCTCCAACCCAGCACGACCCTGAGCTTGCAACACCCGACATAAGCACAGAGAAAGTTTCACAATGCAAGTCACTGTCTGGGAAAGAAAGAATCAGATGAAATTTTAATGCAGCTGCCCTCCAATTCAGCTTGGTATGTAAGTCAACACCCCAGAGCCGTGACCGTGAGATGTGCAAATCCAGCAGGGTGTGCAGACAACTCCCCCAGGGACACACGGCCCAGGGCAAGTGTGGGAATCTGAACAGGGATGTGGCCATAGTCCACGTTGGAAAGGGGCAGTTTAGAGGCAGGAATTTTCAAGTATCAGAATTAAAATCAGAAAAGACATCCTATGCAGCTCCCCTGCTCAGCAGCAGGCATTAACTTGCACTTCATTGTTAAAGACAAGGGCCAAAGAGATTGCCTATAGCTGCAGGTAATTTCACACTGTCAGAAAATCACTCTTGATTTTGTCATAGCAGCCAGCCCTCTGATTCCTTTTTTCCTGCATATGAGAAGGGAGAAAACCGACAGGTTTTGCAGGAAATAAGCTGTGTGTACCTGCCATTGTTGAAGTGGGGGCAAGAAAAGCCCAGGAGAACATTGTTGCTCCCCAAGAAAGCAGAAACACTGAAATACAGCCCACTATCCCAGAAATGCTGTCAAGCTTTCCCTTCCCTGCAGAAGAAAAATAGACTCTACTCCTCACACTGAAAACAACACAGCCCCTTTGGAGCAGATACATTCCATAAGGAAGCATCTTCTCCAGGCAGCTCTGGTTCCCTGCTGCTCCCACTAAGCCTCTCAGCTCCAAGGGGCCACAAGAAGAGGCTGAGTCCTGCCCTTCTCTCCCCCAGTTCCACTGGCTGCTGCTGCTGAAGGACAGCAGGCTGCAAAGGAGGGCTACAGCTCAAATAGGCATTGCTCTAATTCACCATGAGCATTAAAAATAACAAGCAGTACTTTAAAATTGGGATTGCAAATCACAACAGCTACATTTTAAAGCTATGGAGGATACTTTAATGCTATAATCCCTATTAATTTGACACTAAGAACAAGACAAATACACCACGGGTACTAATATGGTGCAGATGGTAAAGTGCAAGGCCATGTTAATGAAAGATGAGACTCCACTATTCTTCCCTCTAGCAGGCATGTGCACTTCCCTTAAATATTTACTCTCACGTTAATGTCAGCAGTGAATTCCAGCCAGGCTGGAGCTGATGGAAGCGTGCAGTGATGTGCTGCTCTCTGACAGCAGCTACAGCAAGTGTCCAAACTCGGAGGCAAAGCAAAGCACACCACTAATCAGGGTGCTTCCAGCCCTGCTCAGGATCTCAGAACACTGCTCAGCTGCTGCCTGGAGATGCTCAGGAAGCCAGGGAGAATTACATGTGAAGGCTCAGCCTGCAAAGCCATGACCAAGCTGTCCCTGGTAGCCATGAGACACTTGCACAAAAATATCTCTACTCACCCTTCAGGATGTGTCGAACAATTTTAATGGAGCTGCCTCTCATGTTCAGGATCTGGTGGACTCTCTGACGAATCTGATGGAGAGTAGGACAGAGAAGAAAGAGATTTTCAACATGAGTCCATGCACAGCCCCACTTTTTCCCACTTTGAGGAATAAACAGAGACCTGAGCACCACAAAAACCAACTCAGTCTTGGCAGCCCTCAGCATCTGCTCAGGAACACCCAGGAAGGCACATGGCACAGAAATAAGAAGCCACAGAATGCATTCACAAACCCCAATGTATTCACAGAGGAAGCAGAGATGCAGCATTTTGCACACATCAAGAAAAGCTGTAGCTGTGCTTTTATGAGACCTCCCGAGAGCACATCCCTTCCCCCTGCTCTCTCAGCAGTGGCATCAACATGGCCCTTCCATTTCAAACCCTGACCTTGCTCACACTGATTATATGAATTTAGTGACAGCAATCAACTTCTGTCCCCACTAATGCCCTGTCTGCTGCAACTTGATGGAGCTGTATGGAAACAAGTGCAATAAACAGGAGGTTTCCTCCTGAAAAGGAAATTAGAGAAACAATTACTCAACACAGCATTTGCAAAGATTTAGAACCTTGTCTGCACCATGAATGCAAACACCAAGATGATCTGCCAGCCTTGTAGGCAGCTTTACCTGGGGAACATTGGCATTACAGATCTCTGCCATGATGTAACAGATGAGCTGCAGCACAAAGAGCCCAGCGTCCAGACGACGGAGATAGAATTCATCTTCCATGTCATCGTCTATGATTTCTCCTCGACGCACCATGTCCTGTAAAGCCACACAAAGGAAAGGTGTGAGGATTCTCTCAGAGCACAGGAGTGGCAAAATGTTCATGGAATTTGTGGTTTCTTAAGAATTGTTTTGTTCCCCCAAATATCAGCCATATATTTTTCACAGAAGAAGTATTTTTAATAATTCATTTAAATTCACAAAACATTTCATTCCGTTTTGAAGAAGTTTTGCCTTTGCTGGTCATGAAGTGTGTCGATCTGCAAGTCAAAATTTTAATTTAAACATACAAATCACATTTCTACATTGAGGGGTGAGAGTGTGTGACTATGGAACAGACCCATGTATCCGTGATTTACAAGTTCTTTGTCAGAATGGAACAAAACCTGCTCTTTTACTGGCCATCTGAGGGTGCTGTTCAGCAGTGCAGAACATGACTCCAGCATACTCAAAGAGCTATCAGGCTTCTATCTTCATGATTGGCTGACACATGAGAAAACACATCTGGAAATCCTGCTTTTCTGGGCCCAGTCAGGCTCTTCCAGCTGTTTCTAAGGGGTGCTGCCAGGGCAGACCCAGGACACGGTTTTTTAGCCAAAGACTCCCATGGGAATGCTGACCCACCATCAATCCTTCTTCTGTATACATGAGTTTCACCAGAGAGACCTGCCCAGAGGAAGAATGAAAGAGGCCATTCCATCCCTCCATTCCATTCCATCCCTCATGCCCAGAGAGCTCATCTTCTTCAAAACACTGCCAAGAGCCACCCAGCAGCAAGCTCGGAGCAATCTCCTCTGAGCTGGCCCCAGGATGTGCCTGTGCTCCATCCTCATGGGGGCTGACAGGCCCAAACAACTGTGTCACATGTCACCTTCTGCATTTTGGGGTTTGTCTTCAGGATTTGCTCTTAAACAAAGGAAGCAGCTCTGATTTATTCCGCAGCAGCTGGCAGGTGGGCGCACACCACCAGAGCAATATTTCCTCATTAGAGCCATCGCCCGCAATGCTCTGCAGGACGTGCCTCCTCAGGTGCATGTGCTCCAGGAACACAGGCACCAGCACCAAAGCTGACTGAGGATGCCAAATTTTGCTGCTCTGTCAAGCCAAGCCCTCACACCTCGTGGTGAGTTGAGGGGTTTAGGAGTAAGAAGGAAAATGAGCCCTGTGCAATTGTCCCTGGAGGAGGGCAATGGATGCTCCCCGGATAGAAATCTGATGGAGTGACTCAGACAGCTGATTCTCACTTCCTCTTGAAAGAGAGAGGAAAGCTTTGGTAGTGGAATACTTCTCCTTTCCTCTTAGAAATCCAGTCTGCCAGTAAAAGAACAAGTTTAGAAGGCAGTGCCTTCTTCATTGTGTTGTGACATCAACTGCTTTGGCTACACTCAGATGTGACACTTTAGCATCAGATCCTGATGACTCCAACACATGCATGACTGTCAGGTTTTCAAAATCATAGGCACAGGCACGACTGGGCAAAGCCTGCATGTGAGCTCTTGCCAGTAAATAGAAAAATCTAATTTTGTGCAGAGAGTGACTTCCCTCACCCTAAATCCATGCCAAATGGCTCAAATCTGGTCTCTAAAGCTGAACAATGATGAGTCTGGCTAGTGAGAGAGCTGAACACTGACTGAATTATCTAAAAAAAACACTCAAGAAAGACAACACACTCACTCCTGTACCACTGCTCACGCTCCACACTGCACACCGGCTCATTGGCTGCTCTGCTCAACAGTGCTAAATTTCTGAGCAGAAAAACATCCACAGGCCAGGACTCTGAATCTCCAGAGCAAGAAACAAAAGCCAGGTCTGCTCTGTATTCTGATCCGAGCACGGCGATCACAGGAGCTGGATCCAGGCAGCCGCGGTCTCGATTACACAGCGCTGGCGGCTCCAACAGCCCCTCTCAGCAGAGAAGATTATTTTGTGCCAGTAAATTAAGCAGATATGAATTAGAAGACAAGTACAGTTTTAAGGTGCCTTTTCACAGTCCCTTTTTTTTAAACCACAGCCACCCTTTCAGTGCTAGTCTGCCTGCAGTACAGTAGCAAGCAGCCCCTTTCCCACTTGGACTCTCTTTCAAAGCTGTCAGTCGCTAACCTCCAAATGAGCGCTCAGGTGCCATTTCTAATCTGCCAGCAATATGTGCTGAGATGCCCCTTGCTGATGGGAGAAGACAGCAATAAGATGGGCTTCTGTGAAGCTAAAATGAGCTTCTCTCACACTAATGAGGCAGGACTGACAGGCCTCGAGGTGTCAGGTAGAGACTCCAAGCCTAAAGATGCGATGGATGTGCCAGTGCTGTACCAAAAATCACACTGCTCCACACAGGCACTGGAGGAGATTTCTGCATCCTTCTCCCTCCTCATCTATCACTCACCTTCCAGCACACTGCACAGCTGGGCAGAGCAAAAGGATACTGATCAACAACAAAGAACACCCAGGATCTTGGTTTTACACCCTCACCACGTGGAACAGCAAGGCCAATCCAGGTGGGCAGAAATGAGCATGTACCAAATAGCTGTGCACCAGAACAACCACCACAATGTGTCTCTCACTCTTAAGGATGGAGTCTCTCCCCTTAGTACTTTTAGTCTTTATTACTGAGGAGAGCTAAGGGATGCAAGACATGCTCAGGAAGGGCCTTCAGACCACAGGCTCAGAGCCACACTCACAGCCATCATGTCCTGCCGTTAGCACAGCTCCAAACAATTTGGTCTTTCTACACCAGACTGAAAGGATGGGCTGAAACAAAACCCCACCTGTTATCCTCACCTGTGGATACCTCACTCATCCTAGGAGTTCCACTTCTTTCTCTCAAGGATGGAGTGGCTGAGCTGTACCACAATTAGCATGTAATTTGTAAGTCATTATAGCACAAAGTGTCTGGTGAGAATATTTTATTGAATAAACCTGATGAGCATAATTTTCTGCGGAACTATAAAAATATTAAACTATCTCTTGTCATTTCCTACCATCTTTAGAGATCATCAAGGCTATTGCTGCCACCCATAATTATACCTCATTTTAGAGAGAGGTAAAGGCCACAGGATGTTGCACCGTTTCCTACAGAAATAATTAAAGAAATTGAGAGGAGAACAAGATATTTTCATTAACTAAAAACTCTGAGAAAAGTGCTAAGATGGGCATCAGGTGTTGGAGACAATGCTCTCATGGACTTTGCTCCTGGGTTTCCCCTGGCAATTATGATAATCACCAGGTTATCACCTCTGAACCTTTCTGAACAGATTCCACTGAAGCAAACAAAGGGGTAACACTAAGAAGGGGCTCAATGACCTCATCCTGTTTCACAATCTAAATCAGGGTGTCACAATCTAAATCAGGGTGCAGATTATTACAACTGTTCCTCCTCAAAACAGAAATTCCTCCCCTCCCTCCCACCCTCAACTATTCCCCTGCCATCACTGCCATGGACTGAAAAGCAGGGCTATAAACCAAATCACTAAAATAAGCCAAGCTAAAAGAAATAAAAAGGAGGAGAACTACAAGAGCAGAAACTTCTTATGCCAGCTGCACTACTAAAGATAAAGCACTCAGTCATTCCTTGTGTAAGCAGCTTTTCACTCCTTGTAATGCAAGACTTACACCAGGATACTCTGTCCATCAGACTCAGATCTTAGTCTTGCTAGTGTAGGCTGAACCTGCAAAATCTCACCAAGTTTCGTTTTTCCATGGGGCAGGGAAAAAGGTGAGGATCTTTATACCACATTTTAGGGGTACCATGTCCTCTACTGCAAGGGAAAGGTTAAAAGCCCCCCCAGTGACAAAACACCATTTCTAAAGTGTTCATACAATCCACCTCGGTGATTCATGTGCCACAACAAGAACAGTAAAGTGTCCCATAAATCCTGTCACAGCCAGACAATGCCATGATGTGACAGACAGAATGATGGCTGTTGCCTATTTCTGTGAGGGGAAAACACTTGAGCAACTTCAGATCTCAGGAGATCATGTCCCACTGACCATCTGATGATGCTACAAAATAAAGCAAATGATAATTCTCCAAAAGTGTTCCAAGCTAGGAATGAACTTGAATATCATATTTTATACATGTTGTGGTCAATATGTTGCACCCATGAGATGCTTCTGCCAAATCCTATTATTAGTTCTAATAGAAGGTAAAGAATTGAGGTCCATTTATTTTGGAAACAGGAGAAGAATCTGACATTCCTTAGTTTTAATTCTCTTATGCATTTAGTAGACACAAATGGGTTAATATTATTAATTGAAAAGCTTCCACAAAAGCATCTTCACACTCAAATTCCCTCCACTCCTGCTTTGTGGTGGCTGTTTGCTACAGATGCTAACGTTTGCAGGCTGCTCCAGGGTGTTCCTGGATAAAGGGCACATACCCTTGCTCTGCACGTGGTATTTTAGGGCTCTGTACAAGCAGCTTCAACTACAAAGCCTCAACTGAAAAAATCCAATCTGATTTTTGAGTCCTAAAGCCCCCACACCAACACCAAAGCATAAAGAATAAATAATTTCTCGCCCTGTCCTGAGGAGGAGGGACAGAGCATGGAAGGAAAACAGGAAAGGGTAAACGCTGTTTTCCTCCAGGCCACCACTCAGTAGTGCCGCTGCCCATATGGAGCCTGAGTACTGGCAGCAAAAGCAGCTCCATTCATCACTCCCTCCCGTGCCTCTTTGAGCAGCAGCAGTGCCCTGATGCCCTCGGAATGTTTGGCAGTGCCTGGAGAAGCAGCCTTGGCAGCGGGCAGGCAGCTGTTTGTCGGGGCCTGGTGGGGGGCTGCTGCCCGTGGCACGCAGAGCGCGGCGCGCGCGCCGGCAGCTGCGGCCATCGCTCTCCGTCGGTGCTAATCAATCTCACACCCTCCCCAGCACTGATACAGATAATCTTGTGGGAAGCTGGCCAAGCTGGCTAACAGCTCTGCAAGCTGCTTCCTGACTCCAGCCGCTCGTTCCCTTTCAAAAGATCTGTTCCAGCCTCAGTTCCAAGAAAGTGCTGTGCGGTACCAAGGCTCATGTCACTCAAACGTTCACTGCTGGTGTGCAGAGAGCACACAGCCCTTGGCTGCTCTTCAGCCAACTCATCAACACAGACACTTTCTCATTGCTGATCACAACTCTGCAGACCAGGGTAGGAGGCCTCACACATTATCATGTAATTGTCTCTCTGCATTTCACCTGCTCTCCATCTGCCAAACCAAGCAGGACTGCAGCCAGGTAAAAGCAAAGGCAAATTGAAGCACAGACAGACTTAGGTACTTCTAATAAAATTCACTCTAAGAGACAGCCAGAAGCACTTATAGAGAAATCCTTGGACCACTTTACCTGAGACTACCTGGAACTTGGAAAGTGAGGTAATAGGATTAAGAGGAACAGCACAGGTATGAGGGCACACCTGAGAACAGTGGCTGGCTGAGCCAGAAGCCCTGTACAGAAGACATGGCTGTGCAGAGGTGTTACAGACATGATCTGGCAAAACTTAAGCAATACATACGTGTTTCTCCCCATCAATCTTCTTATCAGCTGCCTGCATTGCATCCAGGTACTTAAAATACAGTTCCATCAGCCGATCAACCTGCAAGGGCAGAAGAGAGAGACATAAGCAGGAAAAAAAGAGCAATGCAATCATCTTTAATCCTTCCTGCAATTTTGTTTTCCTCTCAGCTTCAGCCTTCACAAAGCAACAGGCAGCTCTGTGCCTCCTGGGAAGGAACATGTTACAGAAGGAGGGTACAAGTGCTGGTTGGATGAGCACGCTGGGGCTGCAGGCTTTTGGATGTCATCCTATATGGGAACACAGTCCCATCAGTGCCAGATAAATGGCAGCAAACAGGCACGTGTCCCCAGCTCATTCTCTGTGCTGTGGTCCTCCAGGCTCCTGGTTTCCCCAGTGGACCTGTCTATCTGTGCTGGATGTTCCAGCTCTCCCAGTCTCCTCTGAATTGTGTTAGGGCAGCTGAAATCCTGTCTAGTAATTATCTACAATTGGTAGAACAGGTTATGAAAAACACCTTTAAAACACACTAATGAGGAATACTAAGGAACTAGTATTTTCCCAGTGGCAGAATTTACAAATCCCTTGGGATCCCTCGTTTGCAAAAGCTATTTCTTTTCTGCAAAGCTTTGATCTATCCACCACCATGTAAATATTTTGGGAAGAATTTCCCTGAGCAAACACCACTAAAATGAAACATTCTAGGAGAAGAGTGGAGAGCATTAAATGTGTACCATAGCAACTGCTAAACTCTCTGCAAAAGAGCTTCACCAGACACACCGGCACCTTTCCACACTGTCCTGATCTCAGAGCCAGCACAGTGTAAAATTGCAGATTGTCTTCTAGGGCCATGTTTCAACAGAGACACAACCCAGGACAGAATTGTCACTCCCACATGCAAGGGCACCAGAAAACAAGAGCATAGGGGATGTGGAGGCCACGCACTAAATGTCCAGTTTTGCAGTTTGTAGATACAATGTGAATGAGAGAACAAAGGTCTGTGACAGCAGAAGTCTCTGCAGGCAGGTAGGAGGATGGTTTTTCTTGCACCCTGGGCAAGAACCCTCCCAACCTGGCAGCCCAGAGACTGAGACACATTCAGCACTCACCTTCTCACTGTCATTCTCTGTGAATTTATTCAGTAACCGTGTCCTCTGCTGCCCTCTCAGGTTTCGCAGAAGGGAAGCCAGGATAGAACAGACATGTTCTAGAAATACAAAATGAAAATTCCAGGCTGAGATCAGGATGAGGAGCTTATTTCCCTCTGTAACAAGCCATTAAATTCACTATTAACACTCCAGCACGTTGATAAGCAGAACCCTGGTTCCTTCCCATCTCGGTGAGAGGAGAGAGAGCAGCAGTGAGAGCCACAAGCCATGTTTGCAGGGAGCAGAGTCAGCTCCTCATTCCAGCCACAGTGAGGTCTCCTCCTCCTCTGCCTCAGGGACCTAAAGCACCTTACATAGTGCACAAGTTTCCTTCTGGTTTTCTCCTCTTTTGTGCCTAAAGGAGCCCTGGCCAAAACCAGCACACAAATGACCCTCAAGTCACCAAAGCAGGGACAGCTACTGAAACAAGAGAGCTGGAGAAAGGGAATAAGTGCACACCTGCAGAGACTGAAGAGGTATGAGCTAGTGGAAAAATTCTCAAACCAACCACTTTCATCAATGAATATAAATGGGCCACAACAAACCAGAAACGACCAAATAAACATGTTTATAGTCTTCTCAATTGCACTTGGGGGTCATATTTTTCAGCACAAACCAAGGAGACAAGTAAAATTCAAGGCTGCAAGCCCACAGGAGACACTTGTGTCAATGTCTCACCACTCTGAGAGGTGACTGAGCCACTCTCCTCAAGCCCAAGCACAGCAGTGCAAAGCAAAGGAGAAGGGCTTAAATCCCTTTCCCTTTCCAAACCAGTCAGTACAACTTCCCTCCAGCATGACTACATTAAGCACAGACCTGCTGGTTTAGCCAACCTAGCTTCTCCAAGATACACTCACTGTAATCTTGCTGATTAAGACTGATGAAAATTAATGGCCATAAACAGTTCCTCAGTCATGGTGCTAGGGAGCAAGGAGGCCTCAAGATTTGACATTTTCAGAGGAGGAAAAACAGTGTGCTGAGGAGAGGGATCACCATTTCATTGCTGTCACACCATGCATTTCCTCAGCACTGCCCAGCCCGAGCAGCACTGACTGATCAGTCCAGTACAAAGAACCAGTGTTTGCTGGGAGCTCCTGTTCCCAGCTGCCTGGGCCATGGAAGGAGAAGGCAGGCAGGCTGCCTGGCCAGGGTGCCTGTGCTCCCTGCTGCACGGATTATCTGCATCCTGCACAAGGGCAGCACCACGAGAGGCTGCACAGGCACACCAACACCCCCCTTTTCATTAGCTGCTTATAAATGGAGCTTCCTTTTCGAAACAGATTTCTGCCTGAGGTGGTGTCAATTTTTCATGTTGCAAGGAGATTGGGAGCGTGGCTGGCAGGAGGAGCAGCAGATAACAGGTTTATCGGGCGGCCGCACCGCGCAGCTGCTCCGTCATTCCGACAGCCCCACGGGGCTCAACGATGGCTGGGGGTGGCAGAGCACGCTCCCACTGCACACAAACTGCTACTCCACTAAAAGCTACACCAAATTAACTGTTGACATTAAAAGCACTGTAAAAACCTTCAAGTTCTGGCAAGTTTTCATTTTCTTAAGGAGAAAAAAAATCATTTTGTTGAATTTCTTTTTTCTTTTCTTCCCCATATATGCCAACATATGCTCTGCTGGTTTAGGAAGCAGTCAGCGTTCTGTATGTCACACTATTTTTTCCCCCCAACCTTCTTTTTTTGGAAGTGTTGATGCAGCATTTTAGTAGCAGTATTCTCACCAATGATCTACCTTCATTGCTTTTTTCCAATATTCCTTTACTAGGAAATGTATTTTAGCTATCATTTTTGCTTTGGTGGTTGTATGCAGATATTTATCCATTTTATCAATAAAATCTTTAAAACTACTGACAAGTCTAAAGGAGCTGACACAGAGGTTTTGAGAACAAGGTTGTTCTTTCAACATATCACTGCACAAAATCCAGGAAATACTGTTGCCTAGTCAAAATGTTCAAAGAAATATTTTACAGAAATATTTCTGAACTATCTAAACTGGTTTTTTATCAGCTTCCTGAAAAATAACACACAAGTGTGTTTTATGTCACACCCCAAAATCAAGGTTATGTCTGATAATGCAAGTCCTGGCCCAATAAATACCAATATCCACAGGCAAGGACACTGGCCAAAATGAGGGCAAAGCTTGATGGAATGAGAGGCTGAGTCTATAATTCAGTGGATTAAAGTGTTTGCACAGCCATGGGAAGGGAGAAACACCAACCTTGGGGTGCACGTTCCCACAGATGGGGTCTCACCATTTTACCATGGACTGACCCAATCTCCATCTCACCATGGGCAACATTTTAAAAGCTGTAATCACAATATTTGCTCAGGGTTGGATCTCCTTTGGGAAACAGTGAGTTGTTAATGCTGTTTTGAGTCCCCAGAACACAGAACCTGCAGCTGCCTGGCTTTGATCTCAGTGCAGACAGAGGCCATGAGCTGTGCATTGCCCCAGGGTGAAGCCACAGGCAGCCTCCCTGCTTCAGAATATTCTGGGAGCTTCTCCACGGGAATGTAACACTCAGCCAAAGTCCACATCCCCTGCACAAAAGGCATCACTTCCAGGGAGGGCACAGACAAGGCCAGAGGCAGAGGCTGCAGAAGAGCCCTATTTCAAAGAATGAATAAATGTGATTCCTTTGAGAAGCAAACACCAAACCAAGCTGTGCTGAATCACCACAAAGGTGCCTCCACAGAAATAACAGGTACCAGCTGGCAGCTACTATGCATCAAGAACAACTTTGTTCATGCAAACATCCCAAAAATCCCCTAAATTCATGGATGTGGGAAGATGGAAGGCTTCTCTCACCAGCCAGCAGCACTGCTGCTGCCCCATAGCTGGCTCACCTGCAAGCCCTGCCACTCCCCAGGATCCCAACCCTGCAGGGCACCACCCCAGACACACCCCAGGCTCTAGGAGGTCACATTCCATGTGCTTCCTGCAGCAGCACCTGGGTCCTGCTTGGCCCAGCATCACCTCAAGCTCTTGGGAGCCTTTCCCTCTCCAGACAGGCACAGAGATTTCAGCATGCAAGCAGTGTTTAAAACACCCTAATTAGATCGATCTTGACTTCAGCTCGGCGTGTTGGAATACAGATTAATCTATTCCATGGCTGGCACTGGCAGCTGCAACAGCAGGAGGTCCTGTCAAATCAAGCTGTAACACTACACTCCTCTGCTTTTATTATCCCCACCCCATGCTTTTTTTTTTTCTTTTTACATCTCATTATAATGGACATCTGCCTGGCAGGGGAGGAAGCTCAACAGTGAGGAAGAGGAGGCAAGCATCATCCTGCAGGAAGGGGTCAGTGGGCAGTTCTGGATGCCAGGGACAGCAGCTCATTGGAGGCCAAGCAGGATGATCTCATGAACCCAGTAGAACATATTTAAGAGCCTTCTGTCTTGTAAAGAACACTTAAAATAAAATGTAGTTTTTAATTAGAAGCAGGAAAATACTAGAAAAAAGCAAGCCAGCTCTTTGAGATACTCCTACCCCTCCTAGGCACATAACTCTGTTGCTTCAGGGCTGCTTCAGGGAAACTTGGATGAAGCCACTGGTCCATGCCAACATTACAGGTGGCACTGGGACATGCCATTCCAGTGGTGTAGCATCTGATAACCTGACTTGTTGCCACGTGCATTAATAATCTACCTTTCAGAAGAGTAACCCACTCAAGTATCACTGCATTTTGCCAAGAAAAATCTTATCTTAAAATACTGAGAACAAGCAAGAAACACCAATTTTATGGATGGATGAAGGGGGGGCCTGGGAGGGTTGGAAAAGCTCCACATGCAACAGCCCTGGTGAGCTGGATCCAGTCATCAAGCTGAATGTAAAACTAAATTCTTTCTATTGACTGAGAAAGTTTATTTTTCTGATGTTCTTGCAACAGAGCACGCTCACTTTAATTGAGATAAATTTAACTCTGTTCTCAGCATCATGGCTCACTCAAATCACAGGTTCCTGTCAGAGGGTGATGGTGAAATAACAAATTGGCATAATAAAGTTCTGCTTAAACAGACTGATGCCTTCCCTGGGTGCTCACTCCTCAAGACCACCAAAAGAAAAACATTTTTTGCTGGCTGGCAGAGGGTGCTCAGTTAATAGCAATAACTCCTTATCAGGCCATGTTTCTGCTGCTGCCTTTTCACTTCCCCACGCCCAGGGAACCTGGCTGTGAGGCAGACATTCATTCCAAGGGCTCTGCTGCCTTTAGTGCATGTCACAAAAGACTAAGAGTATATTTACTAAGAAATGGGTTTTGTTGTTGTTTTCAAAGGGAGGGTGTAGCTGAGGATCTCCAAAAGAGGCTTTGTTATTGACAGAGGGCAAACAAGCAAAACACCCCAGCAATAGGAATTCTCCTTTGGAAACTGGCTGAACTAATTCTCAGGTTATCAAATTAAGCATTCCTAAGTAAAACCGACATCTAAGACAAGAGAAGGCTTTTAAATGAAGATGAATTGGACAAACATCCTTTTATAGTTCATTACACTCTCCAAGTGAGCAAAACTCAGCTGCAAATAACCATCCTGAGAAAGAGCAGGAGGATATACAGCCTGTCGAGCCAGCTATGATTGCTTCACTACAGACTCTCTAATTCAGGAGGAATTTGTGTTTTCTCCATTTTTAGCTCACTGAGGCTGTTCAAGAATTTTAAACCAGCATCCAATGCTGTGACTTGACTGTGCTGAGAGCTGCTGCACCCTCATGGACAGGGGGACACCCCAACTCTCAGCACTGCAGCAGGAAGGTTTTTGCAATGTAGATGCTTATATAGCAACCCCCACTTTTCAAAAGCCACAACACTGAAGTGTTATTTAAAATCTTACCCTCTATTTATGCCAAGAACCACCCAGAGGCAGATTTCTGTGCACTCCCTGCAATCACTGACATTAAAGGGACACTGCTGTTCAACCAGCTCACAATACACAACCACAACACCTCCTACACAGCTTTGTGGCTGTCCAACCCAGCTGGGCACTCACAGGAGTACTGCAAATCCACAGACACAGGAGAACTCTAAGCCATTTCTGTCTTCAGCTGCAAAGTATTTCTGCTTTGAGTTGCTTCACTGCCTCAGAAAAAGGGAAATTGCTTCCAATGAGTTTTTTCTCCCAAATCTAATATCCTAATATAATGATCTGTACAAACACAGGCAAAATTCAAGTGTAGATAATGGGCACTCAGTTAGACACCACAGGCCCAATCTTCAGGCTCAGATCATCCATAAAGATGGTTAAGAAAATTTTCCTTTCTTTTTTCCTAATTACATAGTGTACATAAAGCATAAATATGTGCAGTTTGGATTTAAATTGTTCTCAGGCTCCCTAGAGTAAAATAATTTTTAAACACTGACAGTGTTTAAAATGTAGCTAACCAGCACTGACACCTTTATGCTAGCATTTAGAAAGGAAGAAATACATTACAGAGAAGTTACTTTTATCAAATTTAATTTGGATTATAAATTTCTGCAATAAATAAAAGCTCAGCAAGTCACATTGAGATTTTTTTTTTTTCACTGGGGTATTTATTATTTTGTCACATTCAGAACACTGCCTTAGAGACAATAAAACAAACATGGTTTTATAGACTATCTCTTATGTAAATAGCAACACTGCTATAAAATAAAGACAAGGGGATATTTTCCTACAAGCATCAAATACCTACAGAAGATTTGGTCTCTGGAGATTGTGCATTGGATATGCTGGGAGAGGTGAAGCACCTGGAGCCACAGTGGGTGCCAGGAGCCCCAGCCTGGTGGCACTTGAGCCACTGCACACAAAGGGACAGAGGGACAGGCAGGACAAACCCTTCAGCAGAGCTGTTTGGAGCCTCACCCAGGGCTGGAGCATTTTAGCAGGGCTGGCCTTTAGGCAGCTGTAATTAGGGCCCAGGTTGCAGAGCCCACTGAGGATTTTGTGTTTTACAGCACAGCCCGGGCTGCCCTGCCCAGCACCATCCCAGCAGCAATGCAGAGAGGGCAAGCACAGCCCAGCTCCTCAGAGCTGCTGCAAATAAACACTGATGCCACTGCTGCAAAGCATTCCAAAGAATCCTTTAAAGGAACCTCTTCCTCCATTTGGCATACACATGAAAGCTCTCCTAATACAACATTGTTCTAATTAATTTTTTTTAAAACAGATTGAACACAGGATAAAGTTTTTATGAGAAAATATGCAGACTGAACATGAGAGTTCCTTTTGATCAATAAACAAAAGAGATAAGCAAAAAGCAGCATGTTCCTAGGACCAGAACAGCACAGAGGACACCAGTTCCATCATGCCACACCTGCACCATTTCCCTTAAAGCCAGAGGCACCAGGAGCCTGTGCCAGGTTCCCCCCAGGAGCAGCTACTGCATGGTTGGGGCAACAGTGAGCAGAGTAAAGCACACACTGTGCTGCTTACACCGTGTCAGGACAGGCTGACAGCCCCCAGGGAACCCTGCTGAACATCTCTATTACCTCCTGTTGTTAGAAATTCACTAACTCACCTGCCCAGTGATGCAAAACAAAGAAAATTGGACTTACTACCACAGCCTTTTAGGGAGAGTTTATTTTAATAGAACTGATTTCTGGACTCATCTTAATGTTCTCCATTTCTTCAGCATGATAATGAGACGGAGATGTGATACAAAACCTGTTTGCATGGATCACTTCATTCTCCTGAGGCCAGATTGCCTTTTCATGCTATCACAGAAATAGTCAGGAACTGACCCTGTCAGGGCTTTCCAGACTAATCCTCACAGCAGCCAGGACTGCCCACAGGTATCAACTGCAGTCTCCAGAAGAAGCAGATGAGACAGAGATTAGCTCACTTTCCAAAACTGAAAAATTAAGTCAATGGCATGAACCACAGACTCAGACTCTACCCAGAACCTCCCATTCCAGCTTTCTCTCAGTAAGAAGTATTAAACAAACCTCATTTTCACACTGCAAATGAAAATTTTTAAACTTCCCCTAAATCCATTGAAGCATAACTGTGTATTTTATTATATAAACCTGCAATTTTATTACATAACCTACAGAAACCAAACCTAGCTCTGCAAGTCCATTGAATAAACCCCAGGCCACAATTTCCCCCTCACCATGATCTATCCAAGACAAGCGACACAAGGCAGATAAAGCAACCAGAACTGCCAGCAGGTGTGTGAATTGCTCTGGGGTTGGTGACAGGTGAGCCCCAGCTCTCCACCTGTGCCAGGAAAGCAGCCACTGCCACACATGCCCAGCCCATGTCACTGCCCATTCCTTGTCCCCAGGAGGGAGAACAAGCAGCTGTGCCCAGCTCAGCAGCTCTGCCAGAGAAAGGAGCTGCTCAGTCCCAGCCAGCACCCAGAGAGCTCTGCAGGGACAGCACCTCCCTCCTGGCCTTGGGAGAACACCTGAGTCCCACCTGAGCAGCCAGGACAGTCCCAAAGCAAGGGATTTGGGTTTCAAGCTCCCATGTTTTTGCTATTTCCTTCCACTTTCCCTTGGCTTGCTGCAGGAGTTCAGGATGGATCCTAAGTGTATGTATACCTCTTCAGCTTTTGACAATATTCACCCTCTGTAGAACTGAGCTGAGCAATGAACTGGCACAAAACCTTAAGCATCACTGGCAGTATTCAAAGTTTCTTCCATAGACTATTTTGTTTCCCAACAAAATGGGAAAGGCAGTGTAACCAATAGCAGGAGGGACTGACCACTCAGCTCAGTGTAAGGTCCCACAGTAATGGTAGCTTTACTCCACAGCAGATCTCTGTTAAAGCAGTTTTTCAGGGTAGAGAGTTAAAAATTATAAAAAGGAAAAAAAAAAGCAACTTCAAAAGCAATGGAGTTTATTTCTGCAATGCCTGATGTTCATCCAGTCACACTTCAGTGCTCAGAGCCATGAAAACACTGCTTTTGAGGTGACATTCGTAGTTGCCTCATTACTCTTTTCAAAAGAGTTTTGCATCAGAGTAAGAGCTTCAAACAACAGACTCTACAGGAGTAAAATAACTTATTAACAGCACATGAAATGGAATTGCCAGGAGCTGCTGATACCAAAACAAGCAGGACAAGTGTGCCCTCAACAGCCAGCTGTGACAGGAGCAGCAGGCTGGACACCCAGAGCTGAAAGAAGATGGGTGCTGAGCCCTTCCCTCCTCCCTGCAGGTTCTTTTCAGACACTGGTTGTCCATTCTCCATTGCAATAAGAAGGATCTGGAAGCACACCTACCTTCGTGTTCTTTTTCAGTTGTTCCAACCTTCTTTATCTTTTTAGGTGATTTCATGAAGAGAGGGAAGATGGTTCTCAGCCCAAGGATGTCCACAAACTTGTGACAGTTGTCTGTGCCCTCTGGTCCAATCATGGCGTGGTCCAGCACCTTCAGGGCACTGCTGCGGGAAATCTTCTTCTCTCTGTGGAAAGAGGCAAAGGAAATTGTACAGGGACATGAGGAGCTTTGGAGCACCCTGCTTTACAGAGACAAGCAAAGGAACATGACAAAATGAAGAGTCTGAGCACAAGCTCTAAGCAAGATTTCTCTTCTAGAAGGCAAAACATTGTATCAACAGTAACTCTTTTCAAAACTGTGGCTGAGAATATTGTCTTGGTTATTTCTTTTTTAATGTCTTTTATTTCTTTTTATTTTCTGTTTTTATTTTATTTTATGGATTTTATTGTCATGGTTTTATTTTCTTATTTCTTGGCTACTGAAGAAGATATTTTTCTCACTCCTTTACAAACACTGGCACAAAACAGAAGGGGAGGCTGGGTTGGGCACAAAAGGCAAACACTATCTCCAAAAAGATCAGGATTGCACTCTAAAAACAGTTTAATTTAATAAAGGAGTAAGTTTGGTGGGCACAGCTGGGTCAGTTTTAATGAAATCCCATCACCAGGAGCCACACAATGGAAAGAGGCTGACAGGCTCTGGGCTGCTCTGCTTTAATGCCAGTTCAGAATGTTGATGGTGGTAACTCACACCAGTAACACAGGGATGCCCTGAAAATGATCTCCAGCTGCCCTGTACCTCACAAACCAAACCAGAGGAATTTATAATCCATCCAGGGAAAACTGAAACTGAACTGAAAAACTGCTCAATAACACAGCCCAGACCAAGTGAGTAGGAGCTAACATGAGGTTGGAGAACATAAGCCACAGTGTCCCCAGAGGCCAGCCTAGCAGGACGTTCCCTCCAGGACAGGACAGTCACAAGCCTCCAACCTTTCACCCCAAGCACATGCAAATCCCCTCTGATCCTGCCCAGCTGCAGACTGAGCCACCAGGACCCCATGTCCATCAACAGGGGCTCCTCAAAGCCTCCAGAGAGCTGTGGAAAACAACTTCCCTGCAGAGACCCAACTTCATGAGCAAACTAAAATACCTATATATGAACACCCCAGAATGAAAGAAAGTGACCCTGCCCAGAGCAGCCCCAGGCACTTTTGGGCCCCATGGTTGGAAGGCAGAGTGTGGAGCTGGACCCTGAATTCCCCCAGCAGCCAAGGGCTGTGCAGGAGGGTGGTTTGGCACACCCTCACCCCACTACAGAGAGCTAAAAATAAAGTACTCCTTAGGCCAGATGACACCAGAAATGTTTCCAGGGGAAGTAATTGCATATTGATCAGCATTTAGGAAGGCTGTGCAGGGCTGAGCTCTGGAATATTCATTGGGTTTAAGTTCAGGCTTTTAGAGATCAATAGCTGCTTGCCTGGACTGTCTGGAGTTGATTTTATTTGAAATATTTATTCTGCCAGAGGGCAAGCAGTTTATCTTAGTCTCATCTGTGCTCATTGAAGGAACTTTTAGCTGAACACTAATTCACAGACAAGCAAACATGAGAATCACCAAATACAGAGGGGCCTCAGTGTTCATGGAAACTCTGAATTACAAACTTCATTCACTGACCAATGCTTTCCTCCTTTTAACATCTTTACATCTGAGACAATTCCTTTGATACATCTATTTTTTTTTAAAAAGAGGTGCTGACATTATTTGTACTTTACATATTAGCAGAACATAGCCTTTAACTTTCCAAAATACCAGTAAAAGCAGAACACTAGATTTCCTGGGAAAGTGTGCATAAAATGGTTCCATTTAATTAACCAGAAGATTTAGTAAACAGACAGCTTATGTTTCCAGGGGTCATTAGGAACAGCAGGGCAAGAAAACATAAAAATATTTTAATAATGATAAAAAAATCTAGCCTGAAATAGCTACAGAAAAGCTTTGGGGAGCCATATGGAGTTGTCTGGTTTCACCTTGTTTTCTGTACAGGAGACAAAAGCTTTTATTGAGGGCCAAGAAAAGTCCCAGCATAGCTGCAGGACAGAACATTTTGTGGCCCAAGTGCTGCAGGTCCCCATGAGCTCCCTGGGCTCTGTCTGTCTCTGTGCATACACATGCTCCTCAGTTCATAGCTGGGAAAGCCACACATCATTTTCCCTGAGCAACAGAGAATGTCCCTGACACATCCCCCAGGAGTGACAGGGCTGCATCTCCTCAAACCCCACACAGCTCTACAGCCAAAGCAATAACTGCCTGTCAGAGCACCAGGAGCTGACAGGACAAGCCTGCTTTCCTCTCTTTTGGCTAAACTGCAGTAAGGTTACTAAGGCAAGACTGAGGGAATGAGTACTAAGAAGTACTTTCTGAACTAAAAAGAAAATTTAGTTTAATTCTAAGGGACATTTCTAAACTTTCTACTGGTGGCTGCTACCTTGATAAACCATCTTGTTTTTGATAAAGATGTGACATTAAATAAATGGTGTAGAGATGTAAATTCAATAATTATCTATAGCCCTGCTCTCATTCTACTTCCAAACTTCCTCCTTCACTCTTGCTGTCATCAGCTTCATCCCTCTCAACCTGATCTTCTCCCAGACCCTCTGCTCACCTCCCATTACCTGCTTGGTGAAGCCCCAATTCCTTCAGGGCCAGCTGAAGTCCCAGACCACAGCACAAGTCCAGGACATGCACATAAGGCATATCAGCCACACTGGGCTCATTTTCAGGCATTACCACTGACCCCCCATAAACCTGGAGAAGTTCACATGATACAACGTTACCTTTTGCTGTTGGCTACACATTTTTAAGGCTCAGTACAACAGAATCCATCCTGTTCTCATGACTATCTGTAGGAATATCATGAGCACATTAAATGCTCATTGAAAGCTGCTGCAGCTCTCTGCAGGTGTGTGTGCACAACCATCAATAATGGAACGACTCGGCTGGATGGATCGGGCAGCACCAGACACAGAATGCTGCGTTCCCCACAACAGTAATGGAGATTCAAGCCTGATATCTTTATTCTCACACAGCTTATCTATCTCACATCACGTCAATACACTTTCAACTTTGTCTATTTGTCCTTTCATCTGCACAGGCTGTGGTACAGTGATTAACCACCTCCAAAGTAAAACCAAAAAATAACAGATCTCTGCCCCCGGCCTTCAGAGGACACCAACAGGAGAGAAAAATACTCTGCCTTGTTTGTGGGCAAGGTGGTCAATCACAACTGAAAGGCATGTCTGCTCTCTGCTGTTTATCATGGAGGTATCAAGGAGATACAGATGTACTTCAGCTTCAGATCACAACTATCCACATTCATTCCCTATTTACAACAGATTGTGGTCACCTAAGTTGCTCTGTCCAAGAAAAACTGAGCAACTGTGAGAACCTGTAAGCACTACAACTAGATTAGAAGAATTTAAAAAATATAAAATAATCAGCTGTCAGTAAAGTACATGCCTCTGGACAGTAGGGACAGAAGCTTCCAGAACAAATTCTGTGAATTGTTAGGTTTTTTCCCACTGTCACTTTACCAATCCCACTCAAATTGTAGAATCCACAGATTGAGGCCTTGGAAACTCTGTCTATCAGGCTTTGTCCCTCCCAACCCCTTTGCAACTACTATGGGGGGCAAAATGCAGCCAAGGAGAAATTTTCCACTTGTCATAATTTTCCAGCTGGAGTCCTGTGCAGAGAGTGGTAAACAGTAGAGTCAAAAAATGGGTAAAAAGCTCTTAAAAATCCAAATACTGAATCCCACCCACATGGCACAAGAACTCCAACTAATTAGTTCTGCAAGGCTGGTTCAGCAGCTCAGGACTCCAGGCAGAGGGAGGCCTCCCTCCCGCTCTTAGTTTTGGAGCTTTTCCTTAATTAGCCTCAAGAAAACCCAGTGTTCCTATTTGAATAATCCATGTTGGGTTATTTATTCAGTTCCCTGCTGCCACACATTCCCCAGCCCTGAGCTGCAGGAGCTCAGCATTCCTGGCTGGTGTTTGCCAACCCACCAGCACAGAGCCTGGCACTCTGGGGACAGCCAGACAGAGCCTGCTGTGCTCTCCTGCAGCTCTGGGGAGCCAGACAGCCCAGCAGACACAGCTCAGTGCCAGCCCAGCAAGGAAAAGTGGAGAGAGAGCAGAGAAGCCCCAGAGGTTCAGGGTGTGACAAAGCACAGCACAAGAAATGCAAACCTATGCCCCATTCACAAAAGTAATTTTTGTATCAGCATCCACAAAAATTCAGCATCTCAGAGGCTACACAACACAGTGGAGCCTGAGCTGGGGAACAAAAGGAAAAATGTTTTCCCTAGAGATATCCAAAGGTCCTCTCCTGACCACATAGAGGTTGTTTAAATCTCAGAGGGTTTACTTGACCTACAGAATTCTCTGTGGCAGACACCAGATGAAAGATCTGCCACTTTCCAGCAGCCACTGTGGCAACCTCAGTTCTTAGGAAATAAAGACAAAGACTGGAGATTCCACATCTGAGAAAATCCAACTTACTTACCTGCTGGAAAAAAAAACAGAAAGAGAAGACAGACAAATATCCCAACACAGAAGTTTTAAAATAAAACCACAAATACCTAGCTGGAATATGTATTGGCACATCAAAAGCAAGAAGGAAATCACAAGGCTAATGAGGTACCTGAGCATCAGGTTCATCAGCTGCAGACCCTCACCCTTCAGGAAGCGATCACGGTTGGAGCTGAGCATGAGGCAGGAGCAGAGGGAGTCAAACAGGTTCTCCATCATTTCCTGCTCCTCTGCTGTGCTTGGATTGTGTCGTTTAAACACCTGAAGGACAAAGAAAGCAAAATTACCCCCAGATGTTGGGCTGTGCTGTTGCAGAACATGCATGAAGAGTTTGCACCAAAAGCTCCAGCACCTGACAGGGGTCAGCCAGTGATCTCACAGGTCACTGCTGCATCCTCTGCAGCTGCTGCCCTTTGCTGCCCTGACTGTGCACCCACAAATTGCAGCAGCCTGCTGTAGCATTTAAAGGATAACACACAGGGCCTGCAAGGGGAAGGGCAAATTCACACTCAAGCATGTGGATAAGCTGATTATCAGAGATTCCTACACAATTCATACCTGAGGGTGCTGCAGGCAGCACTGCCTGAAGAAACAGAGGTGAGTAAGCAACACACCACCTTCAGCCAGCTCAAACATGGGCAGCCCTGTGCTTGGAGTGGGGCATGCTGAGGACGGACCAATTCCAACCCTGCCTACATCCAACTCTCCATGAAACTGTACTGTAATAATTTAACTTCCATGCACCTCATCTTTACAAAAGGGATTCACCTCACTGACCATGGATGACACCCCACATGGAAGCTATTTGGGGACCATGCCTCACCAAATATGAAGCACTGCTTGGACAGCACCCCGGATATTTTCCACTCCTCCCACCCAGCCCAGCAGTCTCCTGATGGAAGAGAAGGCATGTGGGAATTACTCACAGATAACTGCTGAAGCAGCACATCGATCCCATCCAGCTCCCCAAGCAATTCTCTGTTGTCTAGACGGAGGTGGGGGAAAGGGGGAAAAGAGAGAGAAAAATGAAGCTAACTGTCAGATTTTACAGCCATCTAACACTGATACATCAGCAAACAAAATCAATACAGCTTGACAGAGCACAAAAGCTGCAGAGAAAGAGAGGGTGGAGATGAGGGAGCACATAGGGGAGAGTTAAGGCAGCAAAGGAGAGCTGGAGGCAGAAAAGGGCTGCTGTGATCTGAGAGAAGGCTGGATTCTGCCCTCACTGACAGAGATATGGCAGGCATGGCTCACCATCATTATTCTGGAGCAGAATCGCCAGCACCTCACTGCAGTACAGCTTGTTGGCATCAAAAGGCATCTTAGCCTGTGGGGGAAGAACAAGAGACCCATCAGGGCAAGGCCCTCAGCTTCTCATTGATTTGAAGAACACATTAATCAAATCACCAAATGTATGAGCAGCACACAAGATAAAACACATCTGCAGTAATTCTGCAGTTTTCCTCAGTGACAGAACAGTAACAATTCTGATTCAGGGTGATGGGAGGTGCTTGTGTGTTCATGCACACATGCAGAAGGTCCACTGTGATATTTCATATGGTCCTACATCAGTAGGTTTGGTCAAGTTGGCTCAAAACCCCTAAGAACAGTCTCCAGTTGTTTGCCACACAGAATCTCTTTCCTGTGATATATTTCCCCCAATGTTAAGTGGGTGCCTGGCACTTATCTCTGTTCTGGAAGTCAGTGCCTGTCAGCAAAACCAGAATTTCAGAACATACATCCCAATAACATCATATAGTAACTGCCAGAGTTTCCTGTGAGGATCAGAGTGTCAGTCAGAAGAACATGAGATGGGTTTTGCCTGCACAATCACGTAACTTCCATTTCAGATACTCCCTCCATCCTCAAATATGCTAAAAAAGTCATAATGAAATGAAAATGCTGAATTTGAACCCCTCAAAAAAACCCTAGAGTGGATTCTGAACTGGATCCAATGTTTTTGTATGCTGCCAAAGCTGCTTCATCTACAGAAACAGACTGAACATTAACCAATTAGATAATAATGCAACCTGTTTTACTGAGAGATTCATAAAATAAAACAAGTTGAAAAATCATCAGTTACCAGCTATTTATACTCCACTGTTCAAAAAGGGAAAAAGCAGAAGTCCTAAGCTTAAAACACAGCAAAAATGAAAAAACTCACCCAGTTTTCTCCCCAAACACACAACTCCCTGCAGCACAGTGGACAGTCCTGCCTATGCAAGGCTGCTGGGCCAATCATCCCACCCTTCTGGCAAGGAACAAAGCATGGTGTGCAAGCACCAGGTAACACACGGAAACATGTAAAGCAGGAAGATCCCAAACACCACCAAGTATTGACTTTAAATAAAGCTTTTCATTCCAAATGATCCCCAACCACTCTGCAGAATGATCCTCAACCCCCCTGCAGAGGATGGCACTGACAGCAGCCAGGAGACACCTCCAGGCAGACCATGAGGGAGAGGGGAAGGTGCTCGGTGCTGTCCAGCCCTGCCACCTTCTGCCATGGGGTGACCAACTGCTGCCCTGCAAATCCTGGGAAACAACATTCTGATCTCCTAAGACTGCACACATCATCAAACCCTGCTTGTGTTTGCAGAAGTGAGCTATGAGCTCTCCACCTGAGCCTTCTGATGCAGCTCTGACAGTCACAATACAATTGTAAGACCTGAAATGTTGTCAGGAAACAAAGTCATGCTCTGTGCTGTGTACCAGATGTCCTCATCACTGCTCAGACAGAACCCTGATCTTAAAACTTATCCCAGAGACATTCCACAGCAGCTCTACCCAGCTGCTGAGATCCTGGGTTAATCCCAAACACATCTGTCAGGGAGAGAGATTCAAGACCAAGCACTGCCAAGAGCCAAAGCACCTGGAGAGGGGTTAGTTAGCTACCCACAACCCTGTACAGGCAAGATCCTACATCCCAAATCCAGGGATAACACAGCCAGGGAACACATCAGACACACCCTACACAAGCTTGGAATGCCATTGAGCATTCATGTTCTGTGGCACCAAGCAGGGGAATCCTAGCTGGGATTATTTGGCTTTCCCAAGTTTTTCAGTCTTTCAGCTGCCACAGTAATTCCAAGGCAGGCAGCAGTACCTACCTGCCAAGACTAAAATTAACTTCACTTTTTATTTTTAAGCAAAGAACATAATTATGTTACTACCTGTAGCGAGAAATTACAGATTACTTCTGCTAACAAGGATGTGAAGTGCACAGAGGGGTACCTGCACTTACACAGCTGATGGAGAATTTCTGCAACCCAGAGTCTTTCTAATCATGTAGACATTTAAGCATGGAAGTGCTAATGCCTTACTGACAGGTTAGAGAACAGCCAGAATTTCTTTGCTATATTTCCTTTACTATTTCTGTGAGAGGGCTGAACTATCCATTCTTTTTCTACAGCATTTTCCAGTGAATGTTTAGGCATTTTTTCACACAAGACAGAGTTAAAGTGTGTAACTCGCTGTCAAAGGATGCAGAGTATGAAAAGCAGCTTTTCATTTAAAAGGCAATTAGCTGAGTTCAAAGCAAAAGCCACCCCCAGCAGCATTTAAACACAGACATCACTTAAAACTCAGAAATTGCTAGAAATGTGGGAAGCAAAGGCCATTAAATGGTTAATATTAGTGTCCCCTCTCGCTGGTCAGCTTTCATAGTCCTACAGAACTCACACACGGAAATTCAACATATATGAATCATATGAAAAGATAAAAGAGACAATTTCTACTGCAAGACATTTATAAAGACAAAACCTAAGTGTGTCTCTTTAAACTAAAACTGCTGAGGACATAGACCCTGAACTATAACTTTTTGTCCTTAACTGGGCTTCTCCAACACACAAAAGCCCAACTGGCTTTTCTCCACCTAGTTTTTGTGCTAACTAGTCTGTAGAAGGAAAGTGAGAAACCAGCTCACCTTCAGCCTCTTGAGCAGCCACTGCATAAGGCCCTGCTGTGCGGCCTCCGTGCACATCTCCGGCCTGAACTCTGCCATGTTCTCCACGATTCCTGGCAAGAAAGACACAGAAAACAGATGGTTCTCCCCATCAAAAATTACAAATCTCTTGTTTCCAGTCTCTCTCAGTCTTACAGTCCTGGGAGATTACAATCCCAAAGGACTGCAAGGAGTGGGTGATGGTGTGACTGCCAACAGTGGGACCACCCTGCAATGGTTCTGTGCTGTGCAGATCAGGCAGCAGAGGGCCAATTATGTCCTTCCATGAATTGCAAATGTTTTACTACCTGAAAGTTAAATATATTACTAAAACAGAAACAAAGTATAGCTCACAGATATGTTCATGGTAAATACATGGACAGTGGAGCACTTTGCTGGAGGTTTTTAAAAGCTGTGTAGATGTGGCACTTCAGGACATGGTTTGGTGGTGGCAGTGCTGGGTTAAGAGCTGGACTCAGTGATCTTAGAGAGCTTTACCAGCCCAAACAGTTCTGTGATTGCCTCTGGTGCAGTGCAGTGATGCATGTATCTGCACCTCCCAACACAGCTGGTTTGGTAAGAGACACCTTTCATACACCCATAGGACAAAGGACAAACTCTGGCTCAAGGGACGAGTGATTCCATGCTGTGCTTGAATAAAAGCTGTACCAGATCCTGTACTGCAGTGCTGGCAGTCCAAGAGAAAAAGAGGAAGGGGGAAAAGAAGGGATAATTCACATTCCTCGGTACAAACCACAGAAAGAAGCAAGGGGCTGTGCAGCAGCCACTTACCCAGGGTGTTGTGGACACCATCAGCCTCCTCTTTCACACTTTCATCCAGGCGCTCTAAATTCTGGACCAACAAGGCCACGACCTGGCCCTCCACCTAAATCCCCAGGGTCATGGAAAAGATAAAGAGATAAGAAACAAGAATGAAAAGAAGAGACAAAGGAAACACCCTGCCAGATATGACCAGAAGACATGAACAACCCTGCTGTAAAATCTCAGAGGAAGCAAAGGAATCATCATGTAAATGTGTCACTATGTTTTCCCTAATTAATGAAACAACTTTTGTGTTTCAGATTAAACAGAAAACCATCAGGAGGGAAACATGCACCTTGTCACAGTCTTATTTCCTGAACTAGCCTGAACTCATTAATAATCCCTCAGAATTCTGAAGCATGAGGTTCACAAACCACTGTGGATGGGAGAACTGTCAGCTCTGCAAGCAGCTGGTCACAGCTGGTCACAGCTGGTCACTGCTGCCTGCCTACATTGCTGGTGGACCTTCCACCTAACAGGTACAAAAAGCTGACAGAACAATGCTCACACACAGATCCAAATCCAAGAGTTAAACTGTCACCAGCTGAAGTCCTGCAGTTAAATCCTCTCAAGATGAATGCACCAAGTTGACTTCAGTGAGTTAAGGAAAACCAGAGAGGCAGGGGGGAGTCCCTGAATCACAGAGCTCCCACCCAAAATAAGTCTTTAAAACTGGAATTGGAAAGAGTCACAGCTTGACTCTGGCAAACTTTCCATTGTGGAGGTGAGCTTGGAACAGTGAAACAAAATAACATTACCAATTCAAACAGTCTTAACCAGCTTTGGACCCAGTAAGTATGTGGACAAAACACATATATGGGCTGCTGCAGAAAACAATGCAACAACCTTCAGATAGCCTCCAACTTTTTACCTACTTTCTTAAACAAAATAAAAAAGTAATCTAAAAAGCAGATATCTAAACATTTCTCCCAAGATAGGCCTGACCTGTTTCTTTCAAGCAGGACAATGAAACCTCTAAACATGGCTATTATCAGTGAGCTGGTGACAATGAAAACAGAAAGAACTTCACTTGATTTACTACCTCTCCACATATTTTATAGAAAACATCTTCTCTAGCAGCTCCTCTCTCCCATTTCCTTCACCCAGCAATCTCCTCACCAAGGCAGAGTAATTAACAGCAGCCCAGAGGCCAGCTGGAGGAACTGGGCTCTGGGCACTGTCATTAACCTCTGGAAGGAAACATTCTAGTGACTGGACAAGGATTGTAGGAGAAAACAGAGCAGCCAAACAAAGCAAACAAAAGAAAAACTGTAATTTCCTGTCTTTCAAATTCAACACAATAGTTACAGAACCAGAACCAGACACAGACACAGCCATAGCGATGCTCAAAGGCAGCAATTCACCAGCCCCAAGGTAGGACAGACCTGTAAAACTCATGTTTGGCTGGGCATCACCTCTCTGGGGTGTTTGTATTCCTCTTCTGCAGCTGGGGAGCAGGAGGCACCCAACACAAACACCAGGAAAAGGGGAAATCCACTCCATAGAGGCCAAGAGGCACTCAGAGGGTTAAGTGTGCAAGGAACACTTAACACCAACCAATGCAGCTGCCACCCACCTAGGTAATTTTCTGGGTTGGTTAACTCTCTGTGCCAAAAGGGATCCTTACCTCTGTACCCTCCTCCATCCTTAAAGTTCATTTGCTCTGCTACATGAAAACTTTCAAGTTTTTACTTCTTGTTAAGAAAAAAAAAAATCCCACCATCACCAACAGATACTCCAGTTCAAGCCCAGATTTTTAGGCTTGAAACAAGTTACTGGGTAGAAGACAACCAGTCTCCTGTGCAAGAGACTGAAAGATCACAGGGCATCACTGTCCTTTGGGTAACAAATTTCAGTTCTCCATTAGTGAACCCAGGTCACTTTTTCACAGGAGAGAAGGGAAATGCAAACAAAGCTCCTGTTTTCAATGGGACACTGTCCAAGCCACAAATATTATTACTTCATTCTCCCTCCCTGCACCAAAAAATCCCCTAGCCTACACAAATTTTGCAATATGATACTGCTCCTTCAAAAAAAGAAGTGGTGCAACAATGTGCAAATGGTGCAACCACCCACTCCTCAAATTCTAGCATTTCATCAAAAACAGTCATCATGGTCTCAGGTTCAGAACAGGCTTCTCCATCACAATGTTGGCAGCAAAGACACAGCTGCAAACAGCAGCATGGGTCAGTGTTCATTGCTGGGCTGAGGCAGATGTTGAGGCACTGAAATAATCTGGGGTTTCCTACTTACAAGAGCGTCTATGAGGACTTCAGCTCCTTCTTCACTCTCATGGAGAGTATCAATATCAGTCAGCTCTTGCAGCAAGTCAACCACAGCTATGGAAACATGTACTGGGTGTTAAGGACAACCAACAGGGAGACAAATGCATTTAGTATCAATAGCAGATGGCTCTTAGGCCAATTTGTTCATGACATGACCCCAAAGCAACTGGCAATACATTACCAGTGAGGTGATAAAATGCATTACAATCACAGCAGCAGGGCACAGGGTACCAGACACAAGAGCACACAGACTACTGCAGCAGACTTTCCCCAGAAGTGCTAACATTAGGGAATCTGAACAATTAGGAATGATAAAAACAAATGTGATTCCGTGCTTACTGTATCAGGCAATTTTAGTGTTTCTTCATGGTAGTTACTTATTTTTTTCGAACATGTTGGAGTTGGTCTAAGGAAGCACCACGTTGCATTGTCAAGACTGAACACATGCAAAGAGAAATGAGTTACAATAATGTGATTTGGGTATTCTGCTCTCAGTGATAGCCCTGCTAACCTGATACACACACACCCCTAACGAGGGCAGCGCCGGCAGCAGGAGCATCACCCCCCTCTGCCCAGCCCAATTAGGGCAGCACACTCCTCAAACCACAGCCCTCACAGGAACAGCAGAGCTTCTGCCAGCCCAATTTTCACTCATTAACTCTGGGCTGCATAACACACAGCTCCCCTGCCTGTTGCACAGCTCCCTTGTACGACAAGACGCATTCCAGCTCATTAGACCCACTTCCCTATTCTCTCAGACACACTGATCAATCCTGCCTGCGTCCCAAGGGCAGAGCAGGAGCTGTGGTTTTCTCAATGTCCTAAATAACCACTCTGTGATGGATCTCTCTCAAGTGCCCAGGCTGACAAAGAGGCTCCCAGGTCTCCTATTTGTGCATTTGTTCAAAAACACAAGCAGCATTGGGAAAAGTATTTTCACTTTTCTTTTCTTAGTGAGGTTCAGCCATGTGCTGGGGCTGGCTGGAGAGGTGAGCTCTGCAAGAGAGAGCCTGGACTTTCTGCTGGACAAGGTGCAGGAGAGTCACCAGCATGTCACTTCAGGCAAGTGTCACCTCAGCAGAGTGTCACTGCAGTGACAAAGGCAAATCACACACTACAGTGCACCAGCAACAGCAAAACCAGCAAGTCAACAGAAGGAATTCTTTTCTTTTCCTTGGCACTCATGGGGCAACTTGCAGAATATTTTGTTCAGTCATGGGCTCTCCCAGTAAAAGAGAGGCCTTGACATACTGTGCTTGGGAGAGCAGAGGACCACTGAGGTGATCTGGGGGTTAATACAGGTTGGATGAGGACAAATTGAGGGAATGGGGTTTCATCAGCTCGTGGGAGAGAAAGCTCAGGGAGGAATCAGTTGAAGATTTCTGCTGTCTCCTGGGTGCTACAAAGATAACTGAACCAAATTCTTTTGAGAGTGCACTGCAAAAAATTCAGCAGAGTTCATAATGCAGGGCATTCCTGTCTGGGAAGCTTCTGTTGGGGCTTGCAGTGAGAGTATCGGCTGTCCCATAAAATTTAGGAGATAGTAAAGCAAAGCCTCGCTTGAAGCTTTCATGTCTTTCATTAATAAAATCTTGTTGGTGATCATCTTTCATTCACATGTTTTGTGTAAAACTGTATGAATCATTCAGCAGATTATTTGCTCCCCCTGGACATTTCTTTTGTCTCCTTGCATTAGTCCCTCAAGACACCACAATTAAATCGCTTCAAAGAGCCATTTGTTTAGTTCTCTCCTTGAAGAACTCATTTTAAAAAATATTTTCCCATTTGTTTTAACAAAACATCATTAGAAAACCTGAGCTGTATCAATGCAGTTTTATGTCTAGATGTTTCACTTCAATAGTGCTTCTACCCTGTATGTGAGCAGCAGCAGTCTCTGCTTCCAATGGAGCTCAAAAACACTTCAGCAGTTTTATAACACAAAATATACTTTTCCCAAAATTGCAGTTCTCAGGCCAAATTCCTACCCATAAATTCATTGACAGGCAAGTTGCAAAGCAAAGAAAAAGAGTTCACACTGGAAACCCTGACAAGTCTTTGACAGCAGCAGTGATCCCAGCACAAAGCTTTCCATGGCAGACAGTATAAAGCAAGCTGTACTCTGGTGCACTTTATCTGGAAAACAGCTCTGCTATCCCAGTCAATATTCCCACTGTTCCTTTTTTCCCTATGAATGAGAAATTCAGTATAAAAGCACACAGTACAAACAAGTCTGTGGTGTCTGGTATAAAATAAATAATTAAACTACAGTAACCACGAAATTGGATTTGCATGGGAGGAGCTTTCCTCCGTACAACATAAATTGTTAACAGTTATTTGAGAGCCATTTCCTTGCAGATCTTGGATAAGGGAAGCTGTGGGGTTTACTGTATTGCAGGGACCAGCATTCACCACATCAAGGTTCCACCTGATGCAAGTCAAAATACCCAAACACAGTGCTCGCTAATATAAACTGGCATGCAATAAAATATTTATGTTTTGGTTTTAGCTTCTGATCACTGCACCCACTTAGAAAGAATGAATTATGAATTCTCAATAGATGGTGCTATAAAGAAAAGTGCTAAAAAAGAAAACCAAGATCTGTGCATCAGACCACAACATGCAGCACTAACAGGCCTTTTCACATTGTATATTCCAAAACACCTCAGGAAAGCTGGTAAGTGTTATCTCCTGCTTTACACATAAAGAAGCAAAGAATAAATTACCTTCCTAAGGCCATGGATCAATAAAAATGGAAAAAGGACTGCCTGAGACTCAAGTCAACACACAGTGCCCTTTCCACAGGGCTTCACTGCTCTCTCCACCCACAGATATTTTCAGGACACAGACATGCAATCTCCCAAGTCATGTAACAATTTTTCAGCTTAATCTGCTGTAGAATATTTTACAAGCAAAGCGGTCTGAGGTCTGCTTTTACAGACTGCACAGTGGTGAGCTGGGCATAGTGCCAGCTCCCAGCTGACAGCTAAGCATCAAGGCACCAGGATATTCAAAAAATGGCACTGGTTTTGATCAACACTACATAAATAGGAAGCTCTCTCTCAGATGCCCTCAGAGCTCCAGAGGTACAAGAGCCAGGTGCACAGAGGGATCAGGGTCAGTGACACTGGATCTCACTGAGCATGGAAATGGAATTGTCTCTGGATATGTACTTAACCAGAGGGGCCACCCACAGCCTTGAGCTCTGTGCACACCAAACTAAAGGTACGGGCACATGAAGAGGGCACATTTACAACCTAAGGTGAAGCATGTGGTGAACTAGTCCATCACAAACAGCTGACAGTCTGACAGCCCAGCTCTCAGCAAGAAGGGGTAAAACAGTTTAATTTTCACTGAAACTATTCCAAAGTTTGCAGTCTGAGATTATTGCTGCTAAGCCCAGGCCTTCACTTCTCCTGTGCTGCTCATCTGCTCACACTCTTAACACTGCCAGTCAAAACTAGATGAAAGGGTCATAAAACAAGAAAGGAGAATAACAGCACTGAAAAAAATTCAGAATCAATATTACTTGAACAAAGAGGGCTTTCACTGGGAAAAAAATGAAAAACCAACACATAAATTCAGTGTGGTAGGAAGAGGAGAAAAACATCTACAGGAGCCTAGGAAAGAGGATATGAGAGATTACAGACAAGTCTGCAGAAAGCCTCTCCCATGAGAGCTGCTTTAACAACTGAAGGATATCTGTGTTGTCATGTCCCAGCAGCCCAAGCAGAGACTGCACAGCGTTCAGCTCCACCAGCAGGTGATACAGGCCGGGCATCGTCGCGATCACGTGCATTTCCTGAATGATGTCATTTAAATCCAGCTCTGACTCCATAAACCTGAGGCAAGACAAAAAAAGGGTAACAAAAAGGCAAGAAAAGACCACTACCTTCCAGGAGACACCACATAGGACTTGTCACCCCAGATGCACATGGCACCAGCATTTCTATCCTCCCTGTCCTACACCTGCTCCTTGAAGTTTAATCCTGCAGCAGCATAAACATTTCTACTGTGTAATTTACATAGAGTAAATAAGCAGATTTGTTCCAATTTTCTAAATCAGTTCTAGAATTTCAAGAAGAAATTAAAATCAAGATGCTGCAGCCACACATGAGAAAACTTGCTTTTAAAATAAATTCTGCAGAGTGCTGCACTTTCCCTAGCTAGCACGTATTAGTATGTGGGTTGTAAGAGTCTGAAGTCCATAAATATAATCTGGGTAAGGGAAAGGACAGCAAACTGGACAAAAAATAATGGCACTGAACTGTAGGAAGAAATCCCTTTAAAATGAATAACAGAACATCTTGAAGGGAGGAAGAGGCTTCAAGGACACAAACACACATCTGGCTCTTGAAGCCCATCCCAGCTGTTCTGCTCACCACAGCACTGGGTAACATGAAATTTCCTCCCCATACAGACCTCTGGCTGGTATGCAAGCACACACCTTCACATCAAATGATGGAATGAAACCTTTAATTATTGCTGATGATGGTTTTTGTGCTGCCAGCCATATATTGGCCGCACCAGAGTCTCAACAAAGGCATTTTTAGTTAACAAAGTCAGTTTCAAATAATATTTATAAGAACTACAAGGCAATAACTGCAGTTACATAAGCCTTATGTAACTGAAAACATCTCTGTATTCCAGCAATTTATTTAGGCTTACACCTAAAATCAAAGGGAGAAAAGTTAAGCACAGTCTTACTTCTCTGGATTATCGGGAAACTTGATCCGCAGCTCCTGGTTTTTGTAGGATCTCTTCTCAAAGGTGAGAATCATCTTCTTCACTGAACTTTCATCCAAAGGTTCCTCCTGACCAAATCAGAAAAGGCAGAAAAATGAGCTTTGGATGGCTGGAGAAATATCAGCAGAAATATCAGCAATGTGGTGGGACTGCAGCCAGACCCAGGTCCTGGGAATTCCAGCCAGCTCTGGAATCTCCCTGCAGAGAGCTGCCAAACACCTCACATGCCATCACCACCCACTCCAGCTCAGACCTCGAGCTGCTCTTCCACACCTGTTATAACCTGGCACCACCAGCTCATATCGAGGTTTTTTTGCTTCTGACATAGAGCAAACCTGCACTCACAGCCTGTGCCCAGGGAGAGCTTCTCTGCAGAAATCCCTTGTTGTGCTATTGTTTTTCTGAAGTCTACATTTAACTGCCCTGAAGTTATGTTCTTCTGCATTTTCCTCACTTGGATAAGCTTTCACTGTTATCTTAAAGCCTTTTCCTAAAGAAAAAAATAAATCAATATTCCACTGTAGTATTTTCTCTTTATTTTGTAAATGTTCCTAAGGTGTTTCTCAGCTGGAGTTGTATATTTACTGTACAGCAGCAATACAACCTCGGCTGCCTCCCTGACACCTACAAACATTTTCCTTAGTTTATGACTTTAATGCACTTCTTTTATTAAAAAATTGATGATATAGATTTCCCTGTGTAACCTCTTCCCTCTCCTCTGACTGTGTTACAACCACTATTTAAGAGAAGCTCTCAAAACAAAAACCAAACCAGACACCCTCCCATCTTTAGCCAAGTGCCCCTCAGGAATAAATCAAGAGCTGCTGCTGGTGCTGCAGATTCTTTGGTCAGTGACTCTAAGCAGCAATCTGGTATGAGACAGAAAACCTCCATTTCTTCAGCAAACTCCATTACAATAACAACACCAGCCCCAGCCTTCAGTTATGATTGGATTTCCTCCGTTCCTTTGCCCAACCTGTCTCATTGCCATCCCGCTCATGTCACCACCCCATTCAGCCAATCAATACTACAGTGCCCAAAGCACATTCTTCTTGCACTGGGATTTCAACCCACACATGCTGACACTGCTTCCTTCTGTTCCCTTTGATTCTTTGCTTCCTCTAACACATATCACTATGATATCTCCATTAGGATCTGCTTTATATCTTGTATTGAATTTGCATTCAGTATTGCAGTGTCCTACAGATTAGCTTCTTCACATCAAATTTACTGGGACAAAGCACATTTTAATGGCACTTATATTAACTGCAGTCCAAAGTAATAAACAACAGATTTGAGTTCTAAAGCCTGGACTTTCAGCCTTTAAAATGTCTGGCTGGGAGGACTCCACTTGACAGAGATGAGGGACTGGCACACTGCAGGAATCCACAGGACTCCAGCCAGTCAGGAGGACTCCTCTTTTCTCGATCCATCCTCCCTGGAGCTGAAATGCTACAGAAATCCAGCATTATCTTCCTCTGCTATCAGCAACAACTGTCATGGCAATAGCTCAACATCAAAAAAAGAGGGAGATTCTTAAAGACGGATGCTGGCAATGCTGTATACAAAGGACAATGATATTTTACAAAGCTACACGATTCTGCAGTGGTGAATATCACTTGTTTTTTTATCAAACAGGACACAGGCAGCAGGAAGCAAATATCTTCTAGATTTATACCAATCCATGTGTCACATTTATAAAGTGATCTTTTCCCTGGCCCTTGGCAGAAAGGCCAATGCAGCATTGGATTTCTGTCTCCAAGGCTTGAAATCATTTACCCTTGACAGCTGCCACCCCCCTCCTCTGACCCAAGACCTTTCCTGTACAGAAGAATGTTTGTTTATTTGCTGCTGCTGCACAGCTACAAAGAGGGGGAGAAGCTGCATGGTTGGGGGTACTGATGAGAACAATGGTCAGGAAATTGGTTAGAACACAGAAACTGTTTCCTAAAAATATACTTTAGAAGGTGATCTGGGTATTCTCAGAACAAACAGAGATTAGACTTGAAAGCCTTCTCCCTTTTGTCCCCACTTTAAATCCTCAGCTGATATTTTTGAGAAATTTGAAATTAATGAACACCCTGCAGGGCAGGAAAGCAAACCCACAACCTGAAGCTGTACAAGCACAGAAAAATCACGTTAAGCCTCACCACCTACATGGCAAGAAATGGGAATCACAGAGAAGGGATTTAGTGTTTGGTTATTTCCACTGCCTCTCCTTTCCCAGAGGACTTACTTCCTCATCTTCCTCTTCTCCATCCCTCTCAATTATCTGAAGGAGTTTCTTCTTCTCATCATCAGTTTCTTCCAGGGCAGCAGACTCCTCTTCCCTGTGACGGCCATGCTCTCGGGCACTGGCTTGTTTCCGACGTGCTTTGATTTCCTCTTCCTCTTCATCACGGGGTCTTTTGGTCCCTCTGTTAGGCTGAAGTCACACAAATAAAAGGTGAATGAATACAAGTGTTTAGTGACCCTTGCAAACCAGAATACCAATATTACAAACCATACAGAGGAAATTCTTACAAGTTTAAAAGATTTGCTTACACGACACTTAACAACTCTGAAAACTGGAAAGGAAATTAATTTAGTGAAGTGGAACATCACATGAGTAGATGAATGCCTCTGCCAAGAGCTGTGTCAACATCTTACCTTCTTTGATCTATGAACACAATTCACGGGAAAATATCTTCATAGACAGCAAGGACAAAGAGTGCACAGACAAGGAGTGGCCGAGCAGCCCTGCTCAGTGGGGCACAGCTGCCCATCAAGGAACCCCAGGCTGCTGACTCAGCTCAGACAACCCCACATTTCACAGCCAGCAGACTGATATGCTCAGCAGACAGCAGGGAACGATAATTTTTTACCCACAACATACACAAGACTATATTGAATTCCTGTGTGCCTCCCATTTCACCCCCATCCTTCTGTCTGAAGTCTGCTGACAAGCAAAAGCAGAATAAACCCAACTCAGAGTAGGGAGGACAAAGAGGACTGCTGCTTGCTGCAGCTCTGCAGGGGCTTGGCACTGGATTAAACAGTGCCCAAAACATCATGGTTTGCTTGGAAAAAACAATTCCTACTATTTTATCCCACTATTTCTAGTTGATTGTCAAAATTAAAGGTAATTGGCCAAGGACAAGAAGAAGTCCATTAATCCTAATCCCATGTTTTCATTCAGGCAGAAAGGGATAAAAGTATTTGCAACTGAAGAAAAAATTTTCCCCTCAAAAGCTCCAAGGACATTAAATTTTGTCTCTCACATTTTTGAAGGACAACCAAGCTGGAACAGGACTACTCTATGCTCTATAACTACAGCAAAACAAAGCTTAATTATTCTTTACTATTTAAAAGGAGTGTATGCATCAAGAATACGAAAATAATAACAAAAACACATTTACTTTGCGACACTGCTCAAGTCACCTGGTAGGTGATTTTGTAACCTCATTAGGTCTAACACATGTCCATTTTAATTTATAAAACAGCACCTGGCAGGCAGCTCCTGCTCTTCTGCTCTGTGGGACCCCTGTCTAAAATGGCAGAAGTCACACCAGGCTTCCATGAACACAGGCCCTGCTTTCATGTGAGACTGAGATCCTTCTCATGTTTGATCCAAAGAAAAATGCAGAGGAAATAAGTGACAGTGTCATTCTTCTGCCAGGTCTGGCACTAGTGTGAGCATCAAGATGGAATTTCCAGCTCCCTGGCAGGTTGGGAACTTTTGGGCTGCAGAGGGTAATAAACCTTGCAGGCTCCTAAGGGAATCCAGCTGTGGTTCCAGTTCTGCCTCACACTGCACCAGTGGCACAGCCCAATGACAACCTGGTAAATCATCTGCTCTGGAGAAAATGCTGCTTTCAGGAGATGTAAAAAAATAAAAACCCCCCAGCCAGCCCCAAAAAGCACATGAGGAGTTAATTATAATTAGCAAGCAGGCCAGACAGCAGCCTGGCTGGGATCACCTTGTTTTCAGGGTTACCACCTTGTCACCACTTTAGGGAAGACGCAGAATCAAGTTTCCCAGACAACACATTAGCACAAATCAGAGCTGTATCTGCTCGCTCCCAGGCAAACCTGTTCAAGCTCTGTTATCTGTCTGCTTTCTCTCTATATCTTCTCTGCCATTTCCATTACAGATGGTACATTCCTGACTTAAAACCTTTCTAAAGTGCCTCCATGCACTTTTAAAGCAGTTACTCAGCTCATAATTCAATAGCCATGACGTGGAAGCATACCCAGAGATTCTGTGAAATGAAAAATTTATTTGCTTGGAGGGTTTTGTGGATTGGGTTTTTTTTAAGCAGATTCCTATTACTTATCTTCTAGGTACATTAAAATATAATTTCACATAGATCCATTTGGAAACAAATGTGTCATTGACAACAACTAATAATTCAAACACTCCCTGAGCAACCAGCAAACCCATAAAGAGAATAAGGAAAAGGTGCTCTTCTAAATGACATCAGCCAAGGAAAAAACTTCAGTAAATCCATACTCCTTACTCAATGTCCTTGATGTCACAAGGGGCCCTGCCCTTCCTCTGTCCTTCCATTCACTCCTTGGTAATACCATCCTAAACCATCTTTGACAGATAAATGTCACAAATACAGCTATTAGTGACATAAATCCCAAAATTTACATCTAAATCTCAACAAGATTTGTCATGGATGTTCCTAATTTGGAATTGGAATCTCAATCCTCACTCTTATTTCTAAACATTAAAAAGGACCAAAGCCTGAGGTGTAATGAGAAGCTGAGGGAGCTGGGGGTCTATCAGATGCAGAGTCATGTGCCACAGGAAGGGACAGCATCCCAAAACAAAACCTAAACTAAAACTCCATCATGAAACCATCCCCATTTCCTCTGAGTACACAATCCTCAAGATCAGAATTTACACCCTTGCTTCCATCTCAATTATTTTCCCCTTTTTTGTATTTATGCATTGCTGGGGGAGGCTCTGTACCACGGAGCAGAATCATTATGATAAATCAGGGAAGTGCCCCGTGTGTGATCATTAACGCCGCCAGAGCCTGGCAATAGGCAGTAATTGAATTCGGGCAAACGCTATTAAGCAGGCATTAAGGCTTTGCCTCTCCTTATTGATGTTATGCAAAAACCTCGCTAAGAACATTGCTGTTCCCAACCAGCGCTTATTAAAGCCAAGAAACCAAGGCCTGAGTGGAACACCTGGGTCCTGCTCATTCCACAAGGGATGCACAGTCATGAACAACTGATTTAAGGCAGGCATTACTTTCTGCTCATTGATTTTCATCTTGGGTTTGCATTTGTGTTTTGCAAAGGACTCTTACCAACTAGCAAGAATTAAGCTCATAGGTTGCTGCACTGAGCCTGGTGCATTTTGCTCAGCAAACACACAGATTGTGTCCAAACACATTTATTTAACCAATTCCACAGCTTCACAGACATCTGCACAAGTTCTGCCTTTCTGGTAGAAAAGAGAAAGTTAATCATTTGATAAACAAAATGTGGGGTTTTTTTACTTAGCTGTGCTAAGGTGAATCTGGCAAGAAGTTAGAATTCATTTGAAAATGCACAAGAAAAGCATTTTTCAATTGTTATGTTAGCTAAGCTTAATTCTGTTCCTGATGAATGCAGGGCATTCACAGTAATTTATTCAGCAGGCATTTTCATTTAAATCTAACACTGATAGCACCACACAAAAACCAATGAATACAAAAGGGTTTAAAAAAAGCTACTGTTTATCAAATATGATAAAGTAAACAGAAGCTGGTAATTGGGAACTGGAGGATTATCTTTCCCTTTCTCTTGTAGTCCTCCTGTACTGGTTGTGTCTGTTGGCTGACAGACACTCCCTGGGGCCCAGCCTTTGGTACAGACTTTCCCCTGACACAGGTCCTGGTCTGGCAAGGCCAAGCCTGACCTCAGTGTGGGCAGCAGGAGCAGCATCAGCCACATGTCACATGAGGAACAGGGAAACAATGTCCTAAATCAAAGCACAATAATCTGCCAGCGCCCCTGGGCTCCCTCCAAGCAGTGATTGCACATTAATATCAGGGTTAAGTACACCACAAAATCAGAACACACATTTCTCAGAATCCTGATTGCTTCAGCCTTTGCCAAACATAAGGAAGGTTTAGAGAGGTCTCAGTAGTTTCATATTACTCAGGAAATACTCATGAGTTTCATATTACTAAGGTATCTGTTTTGTAAGTAATCTCATTACTGTGAGGCTCAGGAATTTTTTTGTTAATGAAATCTGAAATAAATCTTTATAAATGATGCAGCTTCTGTGCCCACATCCCAGGCTGCTCCAAAGAGCCACTCAGAAAGCAGCACAGCAGCTGTCAGTTTGGGATCCTAATCTCCAGAGGAATCTTCAATGACTTCCTAATTTTGTTTCCAATGTTTGTGATAAACCAGGCTACGATCAATCTCACTTTCCCATGCTTTTTCTTCCTGAGGCATGACACACAGCACTTCTAAATGGCGTAGGATCTGAGTGCTAAAATCTGGAAGAACTGGTACCTCAGGAAAATCAGAAATCTCAGAGACCCAAGAGCTCCAAAATCGCACAATCTGAGGCAAATGCAATGACAATGCAATGACAGGTACCCACAGGGATACAGATTATTAATTTCAGAGGGAATGCACCCCTGTGCCCTCCAGCCTCCCTTGCAAGGCTCTGAACCACCCAAGGAACACATCAGGGAGGTGCAGGACAGGGATCTTTCTTGACACCCCCTGGTTTGGTGGTCACAGACAATACACTGGGAAGCAAACTAGAGATTCATGTGCCACCCTGTGAGAGCACAGCTTTGGCAGCATGGGGCTGTACTCCCAGGAGCACAGCCAAGGGATGAGGCAGACAGATGAGCATCATCCCTTGAGCCATCAAGTTGGCTCCTTGTTTTAACTGCCAGCAGCAGAGGAGCTACTGGGGTAATAATGCTGTGAGTAGCCAACAACCAGCTCAGCTGAGCTGCCCCTACCATCAGATGCATCCATTACATTGCACATTGACAGCAAATCATCCATACCAGCAGCAGAAATGATGATACACAGAGATCCATCCCTGTACACACTGCACTGAACCCTGACAGACCCCGGGGAGATCACCCAGTGTGCTGAAGGCAGATCTCACCCCACAGTTACTGCTTCCTCTGCTGCTTGATCTTACTGACAATCAGGGCTTTGCAATGATCACTCACACTGATGAAATCTGCCGTTAATGAGAATTCAAATAACCTCCCTTATTCCCTCCCAGGACAACTGAAAGAAGACTGAATAGGCCCGGAGTTGGCTTTGTCCTCTTAATTACCCTCTGTAATCAGAGACCAAACACGGAGGATCTGGGCAAACAGCAGCAATATTTAATCATCACTTTAGACCATCTGCAACTGTTTTGCAGCAACACGTAAAGTTTATGGATTCCTGAGCTTTGGATAAACGGCCAGGTGCTGTTTAATTGTATTTTTTGTTGCAAGAGGTTTCTTTTCCCGTTCTGGCAGACACTTGGTGCTGAATTGGTGGCGCGGTGCCTGCAGTCTTCCACGCCAAGTTTGGCTCTGAGGGAGAACATCTTCTTGCCGAAGCAAGGGCACAGATTACACATTTAGAGGAGAAAATTCAAAACAGTCTAAGAGGAAAGCAATTATTTTGGGTTGTGCTGAGGGAGGTTGAGAAGACCAACTCATTTGCAGCAAGAGATTAAAATCAGAGAGCTGAGGCATCACACCACCTCCCTGCCAGCCGGTACCATCCCTGCATTGAGGACAGCCAAGGAGACCTTGAGCCAGCCCACAGCCCAGCCCAGAGCAGGGGAGCTCCCAAATCCAGGGCTGGAGTGGGCCAGGAGCTGCTGGGGGAGCTGCCAAGCCACCCTGCCCTGGCCATCTTCTTCAAACCACCCTCCCCAAAGGCAGAGCCTGACCCACAGGATGGGAGGCAGTGAAATCTGCTGCTCGCAACTATTTTCCTGCATCTCTCAGCAGCAAATGCCCTCACAGAAGGGAATCTCATTTTCTCAGAATCAGAGCTATTTGCCTGCCTGCTGCTCCTCCACTTCTTTCGCCTGTACCCACCATTGTACCCAGTTCTGGAGGCCTGAACTCAGCACCATTAACTTCCAATCCTCCCTAAAGCATCACCCCAGCCAGTGACACAAGAACCACCTGCATTCAGCTGAGAGCCCAGGAGAGCACAGAGCCAGGGCAAATCCTTCAGGAACTATTTCAGCAGTTGGCTGAAAGCTGCAGAATGTTTTTTCCCACAGCTAAGAACAATTTTAGCAGCAAGAAATGGAATTAAAATTTAGATACCCTGCAGCTAAGCAGCACTTCTTTACCTTGACAGAATAGAGCCCCCACTGTCACAAGCAATCACTCCCTGCCTGTGCTGAAAGCTCATCCAAGGGAAAGCTGCACAAAATCCAAGAGAGCAAAGCAAA